AGAGAATTTTCGCTGAACGTGTCTTAAATTGTACTGACGCTGAGAAGGCTCCCCGTACCTCGGTACGTTACCAGGAATAATTGAGCAGTGTCACCGGCGGTGGGACGATCTTCGCATCACTACTGAAGTACTTTTGAAAAAATGTCTTTTTCGACGATAGACACTGAGGAACCTGTATTCAGGAGGAACTGTACAGGCCTACCGTAGATTATGACGCTGATATGTATTCCCATCCGGGAAGGCGTAGACACGTGGAGAACTACTAGTTCGTCTTCTTCGTCTGAGAAGATTTCCTGAATTTGGACGTGGTTCGGACGGCGTAAGGGCTTAAGTGTGCTGCGGGACATGCGATGGAAATGCCCGAATCGGCTGCAGCCGTTGCACGTTCTTCCTCGTGCCTGACAAGTGTCGTAGCTTTGACATTGCTCCCTACCGTACCCGTAGTTCGAGCATTTTCTATCGTCGCGATAGTTCGTCTCTCGGCGCATGGGCGTTTGTTTTTGAAAGGCGCAGTGATTTTGCACTAATGCCATTGAGGAAACCGAGCGCTGGTCATGGCATGTCAGAGCGCGTTATGTCGATCTAGTTGACGTAGGTGGAGCGCCCTCACTTGACGATTGGTGGAACGGTGAACTGTGCCGCGAACTGCGCTGAGGTGGAAAGTTCCGTCCCGACGGCTTACGGGAGGACAAAGTTTTATGAGGAAACTGTCGGTGATAGTCGACCCTGTGAACGTTATAGGCGACGTGACATGTCGATTGCTGTGGCAATTGTTGCTGTCGCAAGCTCCGTGGCCTCGGCCTTGGTCCTTTCGATGTTGAGAGCAATCTGAACGGCTTGTTCGAAGCGGATATTGCCGATCACAGTTGAAGGGCACCAGGCGCCGCTCTAAAGCATTCGAAAAGCGAAATCCATCGCTCCCAGGCGATTTGCGGAGTCTCTGGTTTTTCCAAGAAGTCTGGAGGCGGCTTAAGTCCGAATCCATCCCATCCGCGTCGCCAAAAAGGTTTGTGGTGCCCTCGGTGGACCCGGCAGGTCGGAAATGTGCGACCGAACGCTGCGGTGACCGATACCAGACTCTTTATTGTTGAGTGAAGATGACGAGGACGAATAGAGGAAATTCAACATAATATAAGAAGAAGAGGTACTAATAAAATAATCAGTCAGAATGCAGCACTGATGAACAAGGTTCGAGAGGCGCGACCGAGTGTCAAATAGGATTGATTTAGAGAAATTGTGATTCAAGACGTCGGTAACGACAAGGACATAAGAGAGGCATGCATCCGCAAAGCATTCAGTGAAACCAAGGGTGCTATGTTGCGCTTTTTGGACTCCCAGGAGACTAGGAAGAGGGAAGTGACCTCAACGACACAGCAAACGCAGATTGGATGTTGACAGAAGAAAACGAAATCAACACCCAATCTGCGTATGCTGTGTCGTTGACGTCACTTCCCTCTTCCTAGTCTCCTGGGAGTCCAAAAAGCGCAACATAGCACCCCAAGACGCAAGTCTCGGTGAAGGCGGGAAACCCCGCGTCAGACACTCACCTGCTGAATATCTGGGCCAGCCGGCTACAAGTCCTCCAAAGATTCAAAAAACACAAGACCACATTACTTAAAATCATCTCAGCAAGGCCACGGCCAAAACGACCAGGTACTCCAAGGACCACGGCAAAAAGAGATGGATGACGCACTCTGAAACGTTTAAGAGAAATACCACGGTATTCCTCTTAAAGGATTCACAGTGCGTCATTCATATCTTCTTACCGTGGTCTTTGGAGTACCGTGGTCCTTGGAGAAACATAAAGGATTTTCATTGTCTTTCTATTTCTATTTCTCTTTCTCGGACGACCTACAGAGACATGGATTGGAAAAGACAGAATACAAGAAACGCAGCTCAGAACTTAGCTTTCCGACTAAATATAGCGAAGAAGAGCTGGTCATAAGGGCCAGCGAACTTGTTTTTGCACAAGTCACTAATTCCTTCACAAAGACAACGAACACGTCCGCGACTACCCAGACTCCTGCGCCACCCGCAGAGCCAGGGATGGAGGACCAGCTGAATATGGAAATACTCTTGGTGGCCCTATACATTGTTGGAACCTGGGGATTCAAAGCGCTTGGCCGAAGTTGCCCCTCCGACAATCGTCAGTGGTTATCTTCACGGCGAGGGGGCCAAGGGCAACTGGCCACCCGAGCGTCATTCGCCGCTGATAAAGGACCGTCGCGCAGCGTGTGCGTGGGGGCTTTTGGGATCGCGGCGTGGACAATAGCCGTCATTAAATGTTTACATGTGGTTGAACCGGTGTGCTTTGTCAATCGCCAAGACGAATAGCAGGAAAAAAAATCCCACGACACTGAAAAAAAAATGTTAATCGGGATCTGACGGTATTACGTGGCATGCCCTAAGGAGTCTCCCTGAGATCGCCACACAAAGCCCTCTAGATAAATTAACAACCAAGTATAGAATTTTGGAAAACTCCCATGGCAATCAAAAGTTTCCTGGATAACACCGATTCCCAAGCCAAAGAAAACCCAAGACGGAATAGAGAATATGAAGTATCGCTGACATCAAATATCTGGAAGACAATAGAAAATATAATCACGGGAAGAATACAACGGTACCTAGAGACTCACCACAGACTTGACCCTAGACAGACTGGGTTCAGGGAGGAGATTGGGCACACAGGACAGCCTTAAGTTGCTCTACGAAAGCGTCATGACCAACAAAATCAACAAGATCAGCGGCTTGTTGTTGCCCTGAACATCGCAAAAGCTTTTGATACCGTCCTACACTGGGCCGTCATAAAAAGGGCTAAACAATGCGGAATCCCAGTCAAGGCCCTGGTCTTTATAGTGGACGTTCTTCGAGACAGGAGGCTGTAAGCGAAGATTGGAAATACCAAAGGACCCGAATACCCGAACTGTATGGGAGTACCGCAAGGAGCAGTAATCTCACCGGCACTATTTAAAATGCTGATGGCAGAGTTGCCTACCAGGCTCCGAGAGATCGAAGGTCTGGGTTTCACCATGTACGCAGACGATAATATTGCCACATCTACTTGCAAGTAGATGTGGCAAGTATACCGTCACTGCCGCGGTGCCGCCGAGCAAATTACGTGGAAAATCTATAGCTACGTTTTAACGCGATAGCATTCGTTAGCCACCCCTTTCCACCTCTCCCCCCGCCGATTTGGTGCACCTTTCTGGCCTTCTAATGCGCAGCTTCCCCGCTACATTTAGCGGAAAAATTAACGTCCCATGACTTGTACGCCAATTCAGTTTCCCCGATAAATTTACCAGTAAATTTGATGTCTCGTGACCTGACGTCACGGGACCTACAAGCCAAATCAGTTTCTCCGCTGAATTTAGTGGAAAAAGTAACGTCACATACCTAAACACCAATTCAGTTTTCCTGCTAAATTTAGTGGGAAATTTAATATCACGTAACCTGACAAAAGATGCATAGTGTTTATGGTGCAATGCTGTTAATCTTTTCGAATTAGATGTTGAAACAAATTGCATTATTACATTTGCGTTGCGTCGAGCTCAGGCTCTAAAAAGCTTTTATCAAAATAACTGCTGATATATTTTGTTGAATTAGGATGGCAGTGAACCATATATATGTATACTTACAAATAGCAATTTATTTAATAAAATCGCCCATTGAAGTCGGCCGGGGGATAATGTTACCTACTTCTCCTAATCCATGGTTTGTGTTTCTGCCGGCTCTTTATTCCCTGTTCTTATAAATTTACTAATTAATTCTCAGTTTTTCAAGTCAACAATTGAACTGTTCGCTTTTATTCTAAAGTTAATACGCTAAAATTAGCGCTTAATTACAAACAAGTACTGACGCTGATGTTTTTGTAATGATATTGCTTTATTGAATGAACATTTCTTTTTAATTTCGTTTTCTGGTTTTGTTTTAGAAACGTATACAGAAGATCACTAAATTTTTAAGTTTAAGTGGTAATTGATACCCAGCCCCCAGCTTTGAATGACAAGCATGGCTTCTTAGTTGGAACCGCATCCGTGCATGTCATCACGCGCGTGAGGTTAGTTCTGAAGGACTTGCAATGACAGGGGCTAGCTTACACAAGCCAAAACATGGCAACGTTCAAATCGCCTGTTTGCGATAACGCACACTCAGTAAACGTTTGCCAAATTGTTCTGCCTGATCTCAGTATAAGAAGTTTTCTGAGACACAGATTGAGGCACATATTGCACACGAACACGGGATCGCCGATGTTAACTTCATTCTTGTCGCACATCATAAAGACCATCACTAATTTGTTAAAAGAATGTACTAGCGGGGCAGCAATTCAGTCGGTAAAGTGGGTATTCGGCACTGTTGGTTTTGACTAAACCTCGAGTACGTGCTGATTACACTTTCGCGCTCATTGTGTCACGCATCGAATCATGCTCAAACCGAATGTGTCACGTTCACTTTTTCAAAACATCAGTTACATTAAGATGGAAATAAAACAAACAAAAAACTGCTTTACGTACCTTGACGAATGTCCCGCGTTGGCGCGCCCTCCCCATTCATCATCTAACTGACAAATAACGTTGGCCTACCTCTTCCATCGTTTCTGGAGGAGCGGATTCCGCGTGCTTGCTGGACCAATACCCCTGGCCTTCGTGTAACTGAACAGTTTCCTCTTTCTGACCAGACAAGGCTTTCAGTGAAGTCCAGTCAGTACACAGTACTAAATTGCTCTCACTCACAGTTCAGGGGTGCGTGGAGCATAAAGTCGGGGTCACACTGCTTATACCATCACGCAAAAGACTTTTTTCAAACAGATTCGAATGCGAGTCACTACGGGATCCATGCTTCGAATGCCGCATGGCAACAAGTTCAAGGAGATACTTGGCACGCGGCATTCGAACCCCGGATATTGCGGTGACTTATGTCTGCCAACTGTCTTTTTTTATGATGTATAAGCGGCGTGAGTCCGGCTTTACGGTGTCGACGAGTAAATACATACAGACTGCGCCTTATATACAGGTTTAATAAGAAACACTCGTATACCTAGTATACAACCTTCGGTGCGATGTGTGTATTTTTTTTTCTCACTCGAGCAACAACACAAATTAAAGTTAGCAGTTCGTTCGAGCTAGTGGCGCAAGCAGCGCGAGAAAAAAAGCAAAGAAAAAAAAAAGAAGCATGATGACGAGGAGTAGGGGCAAATCGCTGTTGCATTGGCTACACCTACGAGTTTGTTTAAGGCTTCTAGACCTGAAGAAACGGAACGCAGCGCCAACGAAGCGTTCATCTTGTGCGCTGTTCCTTCTTCAAACGCAAAGTTCGCAACAGAGCTTTGTCTACAAACGTTCGCTCTCAAACTTTCCGAGTCCTGTATTGGGCTTGTGCATACCAAACGTCGACCACTCTCTCTCTCTCTCTCTTTTCAATGCTCTCTTTCCTTTTCTCTGTTTCTGACCCGTCCTTCCTCTTGAACCACTCCAAAACAAACTGGCGGCAAAACATCTTGTCTTCGCTTGAAAACCGATCATTTATTAAATTAGAGAAAACAATATGGTTCGAATTCCAGACTTCACGATCCGAGGTTGCGGCACACGCGCTCGTTCAGCGGTTGTCGATACTGAACGTGTGATAAATCGCGTAAAATCTGGATAAAATTACAGCGAGACTCTTCAGGTTTCGAACGAAATACTACGGCTCTTTTAAACAGTCAAATTTGCGCAGTAGGACTGACATGTCAAGTTTATATTCTTGTTGTGTTGTGGTGCAGGTTTGGGGACAATTGTCTCAATTAATTTGTACGAGAAATAATTAAATAGAACTAAGAAATACGTCTATAGGTATGACATCCGCGATTTGCCCTGTCACTTTCAATTTTTTTTTTTCAAATCAAGACTCGTAAATATCTCACAAAAGTGAACCCCTAGCGGCATGTATCAAATATTAGCAGAACTGCTAAGCAGCAGAAACACTATGGGCTCAATCAACAATGGAGGTCCCTCTCAAACAGTTTCCTTACCACGTCCCAAAAATTAAAAAAATAAAATGAAACAGAAACTTCACCGCGCCCTCTCGACCATGAAACATATGGGTGGGCTTATAGAAAGAGTCGTCCAAATTGGAGATTTCTGATACGACATGGACACCCTCCTACGTTATCGGCTGTACTTGAGTATAACAAAAATAATATTGCAAGCTTGGCAGCGAAAAAAAAAGGAAGCAAATGTTTTGACCTCTGCATGAAGGCCCTTTAAAATAACAGACTACCAAACACGAGCTCAATTTGCATGCTTTGTACACCTCTATACATACATTTATGTGAAATATATATACAAAATATAATTGAACGTTTAGGAGCGATGTCTTGAAAAGGTCAGCTTATCCAGATCGCCCATAGGACGAGCCTTTCGCGCCGAACTTCTATTGCACATGGCCGGCCGTCAAAATTATAACTTAGACCGTAAAGGTCAAGCATCATTTCGGACTAAAAGTTGACGAACGCGGTCACAACTACATGCACGTAATGTGCGCACCGTTCTCATCCAAGATGTCGCAGCAAAGAAGCTTGGCGGTAACACAAAATAGCCCGAATTTAAAAATATATAATCTGTCTCGTAATGAAAAGACGTGGAAACATGAGGTGCAAACTCTCATGAACGCTTCTTCAGTTCCTGTTTTAACATGAGCCACCCGTTCTATTTGTCCTGTGGTGCAACGTTGGAAGTTGCGGGTGATAACAAAATCAATGCGTAGAGTACGTGTTGGTGGATATGTTTTCTTCGTGTCTGAAGTTTTCTTCTCAATTTGTACAAGTTCGCATTTGAATGACCGGAGTGACTCGGTGTATCGAGATTTTGATTCGGAAGCCATTGCACGTATTAAGAGCGTGAAAGTATTTCCCCATTGTAGTCGGTTTAAGTATTGCCCGTCAAACTCCTTGAAAGGGGGCGACATAAAATGTGCAGCCATCTCATCCTTATGCATTCTCGCGATTATGCGTAATAGTACAATAAGTAACAATGCAATGCAGTTTCGATTCCTAAAATCCGCAAAATATACTTAGTTTTGTTCACTGCCACTTTTGTGTTGATTATAGAAAGCAATGTGGAAAATAAGAGGACGAACCCTAACCAATAAGGCTAACGAGACACGAAGGTGAGCTCCGATTGGAGGATGCACAGTTTACTATATTTAGAAGAAAGACCAACCAAAGGGAAAATAGAAAGAGGTAGGGCGTCCGAATTCTCTTGACTAAGGGTTTTCGAAATTCACAATTTTAGCCTCCAAATACATTAGTTTCCACAGTAACGGCTCATCCACAATGATTGGTGATGACTAACGTATCTGGTTCCTTTATGTTAAGAGAAGTGACTTAATACGTTTGCAGCATTGAGGGTTCTTGAACATTGTTATGGATCGTTCGGTTTAGTGACTGACGGGCATGTTTTGTTTAGCTTAGATGCATTTACATGTATCACGTGAAGATACGGCCTGGCAACGATGGTTTCAAATTATTCCAGCCATGGCCGACTGTTCTCGCTCATGAAGTAACCAATCCAGAAGATGATCACTGAAGGAGAGCTTGGTGTGGTTCTCTGCTCGTTGTGTCCACGTCGTTGGAAGGACGGGGCAGCATGACGAAGACGAACAGGACTCCGGAAATGATCGAAGATATCGAAAGCTGAGGTTTTGGGGATCCATGTTTAACACTATACGGGAATCGCAGACGGGGCTGGCATGCGGAGAGCGCGCTCCGACCAGAGCGGGGTTGTCGGAGCGGTTTGGCGGGTTTACAACGGCTATGGGACTTGGGGTACTTGCGGTTCCTGTCCAAGAGGCCCACAGGATCATGAGATACGTCTTTCGTGGCCTCTTAGCTTGCCAAGGGCGTAGACACTGAGCGGTTTGATTCGCGAGTACACACATAGCACTATGCTTGGACAACTGCTTACATAAGTTATGTGAGCCTTTCGAGACTTGAAGACGGGTTTCGCGGTCACTCACGCGGAACAAACGATCATGGGGTAGTGTCAGAACCATCGCACGTCTACGTCGTAGCATCGGTTTCTTGCCTCAACCCATGACCCTCTGTCCATGACAAGCTTAGGATCGTGCTGCATTCCACTCTTTCGGATCTAACCTTTCTCACTGTGAGTATGACTCTTTTTCGTTATCCTAGGGGAAATTCGAGAGGAATGCTTTCATTGAAGTATAGGCGGCTTGCGTCACTACTGCGACAGCTGAAACTTTGGGTAGTTGAACTGACCTAGGCGCGTACTTCTCTGTGGAAGCCTCTCACCGAGTGGTGTCTTTCCTTGAACCACCTAGTTATTTTGCTCGAGGCGTGTGAAATCAGTCATCCCGTGCTCCACTCTTAAAACAGAACCAAACAAAACCAGCCACTTCCATCGCGGCGGTGATCCATGCAGGAGACTAAATTTAAGTACACAGCAGTCCATTTTTTTTTTTGGTCGACGAGTCCCAAACGCTTCGGTGTGTGGGATGTTGCCTTGGAGCAGATGTAATCTTGCCCTCGAAGACTAGTAACAAAGCGCCCAACTTGTCTCCAAGGATGAAGACGGTTTTCTTCACTGTCTCTCCGACACGCGGGGAAAGAATAGCAGTGATAGCTTCCGGGAGTCCTTCAAACCATCCGGCAGGGGCCCTACGCTCAGCCTCGAGCGGACGCGCACGTTGTTCGCGGATGCGTCGCTCCGACCCCCCAAAGGGGCCGACGGAAAAGAGACACCTCGTAGCTCACGGCCGGTGGGGTCAGACCTTGTCCCTGGAACCCTTGAGGTCGTAGCTGAGCCTTCGACCGTTGGCGATGGACTGGCTGTCGATGACCACGCGGCGGTGGCAAGCCGCGGCCGCCGCGGCCGCCGCCTTGGCCTCTCGCTCAAAGATGTCGCAGGCGGCTTCCTGGTCGGACTTGCAGCGCGCCATGGGCTGTCCGGCGGAGGCCAGCGTGTGTGCCAGGTCGTCTGCCGCCTGGGTCGGCGACAGAGACTCCGAGCCGCAGGAAGAGCTGTCGCTCAGTTCCGACGTCGGGGGTCGCCGGCTGAAGCGGGGCGAGTGGCTCCCGGGCCGTCGGCCCAGTATCTGGGCCTGGATGTGCTCGCAGATGCGACGGAACCTCCGGATGGGACCTGCGCAAGGAAACCGACCAAGTCCAGCCACCCTGCAGCAAGCCGTGCTCAGGTATATACTCTCGTGATGTCGCAGCGACTGTTCGGTTTGGGATCCATCGGTTAATTAAGCTACTTTGAATAACACACCAAGGTGCAAGCCTGGAGCCGCAGTAATACTGATCATACAAGTCTCTGCATTAAGTGACACGATTACTGTCTTGGAAAACAGTAACAGACAAAGTAACCTAATAGTGTGCGGACAGCAGGAGGGCATGTCTGAAACACCCGATCGTCTAAAAAAAAAGTGACAGTAGATGCTAATGAGAACCGAATTGGTGTAAAGGTTTCTTATATATAAAAAAAGATATATCATCGGCTTGGGATACAACAAGAGACTTAGGCGAGTAATAATAAAATATTCTTCTCGCAATGAAAAAGCTCAATTCGCGAGGAACGCGCACAAGAGAAAATGTTCTTTTTTGTTATTATCTGATGACTACACTCTCGAATAAAAAGAAAAGCGTCGTCATCTTTGGGCATACGCTTTTTGTCTTAGCATACGCTAAGACAAAAAGGGAGATCCAAACAATAAGGTCACGCTAAGCTATGGTAAACTTATAATCAACTGTAGTATGTACAGAATGTTTACTTGGGATGCTGAAAAAGAGGTAGTTGTTGCCGTAAAGCGTACTTGACGCCCAAGTGCTGTTAGGAAAATTGACTGGAGAAAAGCTAGAGTGTTAGTAGTTAATGGCAAAATTGCGAAAACTAATTTGATGAATTCATTAGCTCTGTACAAGTTGTTATGGTGCTGGGAACAGAGACCTGACTAGATAGCTCGGTATCAGATCACGAGGAATTTTCTAGTTCTTTTAACGCAGATAGAAAAGATAGGTCATCACAGGGGGATCGCGTTTTCATACTGGTTCATAGTTCTTCGAAAAGCTACCAATTAGACGTTCCAGGCAATACTGTCGAATCAGTGTGGTATAGTGTTGGGTTGCCTGGTAATAAAACATTCATTGCGGGAGTGTTCTACAGTCTCCCTACTCTGACCCTGCTATCGTTGAGCTACTTCACGACCTCAAATTCAATGTTTCGAATGACTGACTTGGTTGAAGGCGATTTTAATCTACTGGATGCGATAGGGGGGTATAAACTCTGTGCATGTAAAACCATGAGTCGACTGAATCTTGATTTCAAATGCATGCAGAACAGCTTACCCCTCAGCCAGCATGTCCTTGTACTTACACGGGATCCAAACACACCTGACTTGTTTCTTTGTAACTACTTTACCGTTTTTAAAAACACTGAGCTCATACTTGGTATCAGTGACCAAACTGCTATTGTCTCAACCCTTGGCTTTCGTCTTTCGCGCAAAAAAGTGTGTTCGGGTAGAAAGGTCATGTTATACAAAAAGGGAGACTATGAAGGGATCAGTTCTGAGCTTTGTGATGATTTCCTTTCCTTTGAATGCCTTGTAGAGGAGATGAGCGTGTAAGACACATGGGTAATGTTCAAGCAGAAAATTATCAGTCTAACACAAAAAAGTACATTCCGAGCATAGACTCATCGAAACTTCAAAAGGAAAAAAAAAAAATGAATTGCAGGTTGCCTACTGCGACCGACAAAGAAGCGCAACCGTATGTACGCATGGTATAAGAAAAGGAGCTCAGAGCTAAATCTAAACAAGCTAAAAGAACTCACGTCATTGTATAAGATAAAGGTAAAGGAAGCAAAAGAAAGTTATCTGCAACGGCTGCTAGGAGAGGAGGAATGAGAATAAGAAACGATTCTGGAAATATATGAAGCGCTGAGGTAATGATTCTATCGCTATAGGAGATGTCATGGTTAATAATAAAATAATTACCGATGACTGTTAAATAACTGAAGCCTTAAATAAAAAGTTTCATACAGTTTTCTTGTCTTTTGAGAACACAACCTATGATAGATATCAGTGAAAGCTCAGTGTAACGCCACCAGTTGAGCTTGCTATAGGAGGTCTGTTAGAACTTTAAAAGGTATAGATGAAGCTAAGGCAGAAGGCCCAGATGGGATATCACCAAGAATTTATAAATGATGTCCAGATGCGATTGTCTCCTACCTTTTTGTAATATATAAGAAATCGCTAAACGATGGCTAATTTTCAGACGACTCTAAAGTGGCACACGTGATGCCGGTGCACAAAAAAGAAGTTAATAATAACAGGCTGATTTCTCTAACGTCTATAGTATGTTTTAAATTACTGGAACATGTTTTATATTGTCACATTATAATGCATCTAAACTATCACAATTGTTTCCTTTGAATCACAACATGAATTTTGTAAAGCGCTGTCATGCACTACACAGCTGACTGAGCTATATCATGATTTGGTCGGGGGTGTTGACAAGGCGGACATATTAATTGTGTTTTATTTTATTAATAGTGCGTGTAATACCGTATCGAACAAAAAAAAAACGTTCGATACGTTATCACACGCACTATTATTACACAAATTAGCGCGCCTAAATTTTGACACAGCTATTCTAAAGTGGATACGAGAGCATGTGTTATCACGTTATCAATGTGTTGTTTTAAATGGTAAAACTTCGAATTCTGTTGAGGTAACATCCGGTGTCCCGCAAGGCTCTGTTCTGGGACCCTTGTTATTTTTAATATTTTTTAATGAGATTAATGACGGTGTAAATTCACGGGTACGTTTGTTCGCGGATGATTGTGTTGTTTACACGGGCATAACAAATAAGGAGAGTTCCAGACGGCTGCAGGGTGGCCTGAACTGAATAAAACAACGGTGTAAAAGGTGGAAGATGTAATTAAACGTAAAAAAGTGTTCATTTTTGTTTTACCTGTAAAACGAAAACAAAAGTTGGAACGTGTTATCAACTGAATGAAAAAAAAAACTGTACAAATAGACCGAAAAACTAAATATCTAGGCGTCACGCTATCGGCAGGTTGCAGTTGAAATGCACATATTGACGATGTTGTTATAAGGGCCGGCAAAGCGCTTGGATTTTTAAGACGAAATTTAAAGAAGTCATCTGAAGCTATAAAAGAGCTCGCCTATCTCTCGTATGTACGACCAGTTTTAGAGTCCGCCTGCACCGTCTGAGATCCTTCTCAGCAAAACCACATTGTTGCAGTGGAAAGAATTAAGAGTCGTGCTGCTCGTTTGGTTCTGGTCCGGTATAACCGTTTTGCGACTGTAACCGACATGATTAAAGAATTGGGATGGTCTACATTGCCATGGAGACGAAGAAATTTACGCTTGGAAATTTATACAATATATGTTCCAATAACTGGCATGAGACGCTCATCTCACTTATTACTTCCAATATTCTATCTCCAAAAAGAAAAGACCCCATTTATAAGATAAGAGAACACCGAACTGTGCTCCGTTTACCCTTAAAGGGCCCATGAAACGATTTTAACATCGAGAGAACGCGCACCTTATTACCCTTTTTTTGTTTACTTTAGCACAAGGACCATAACACACGACCACTTCTCTCGAAATGTCGCGAATGCGCTGCGTAACCGCAAAAACAAAAGGGAACTATTTCTTGACTTGACTTCACGTACGGCGGCCATAGGAACTAACTTTGTGACGTCATGGCGGGTGCGGTTATTGAGATCGCTTTTGAACAAGTATATTCTCAGTTTAATGTTAACGTTTAGAAATTATTTCGTTCCAACATAAACAAATGAACCGGAATTTTTGTATTCTTTTTCAGTACACGAAGTTTTCGCCGCGCCATCTATCCGGAGTAAGTCAAAGCGTCCCCTCCCCGCTGCACCGCTGCCTAGCAACGTTGGCTGGCTCCTACCGGACGAGCGGTGTAATCAACGCGATATTGGCGACGTGAGCGATCAAAAGTGTCGCTGTGGTCGGCCCACCACAATAGGCCGAATGCTGACTATGACGTCAGCAAAGGATGTCTCATTGACGGAAATAAGAGGAATAAAAGAACTTCAATTTTGACGGTGTTGGCAGTGTTGCTTTGAGAGCGCTATCATTTCAGGCTTCCACCATACCCATTACAAACACCACCGAACTTGTTGTTCACAAGGTAACGACGTCACGAATAATAACTGAATGAGGGCGCCACCGAAACATCTCGCCGCTAATAAAAACCATGTTTCGGCAGCTGCGTGGTTCGTTTTCTTTCTCGTGCGCCTGGTTCGCCTGCCTGCAAGTATACTCTGTTTCACTTTATGTTGTACCGCAGCGAAGGCTAGAAGCGCGAGCGCATAGCGTTGGCAGCTGCCCTTGGTGCACGAGAGCTTGTGCCGCCGAGGTGTGCCATAGAGCAAGGAGCTCGTGCTTGTAGCCTTTCCTGCGGTACAACACAAGGTGAAACAGAGTGTAGGAAGTATTCACTGGCGGCCATAGCTGTTTGCGAGACTGCTGGGCGCGTGCTGATGGCTAGCTTCCAGGGTTCTTTTGCAACGTGCATTCCACACGGTTAAAATGGCCGGTTTTAGCAGCCTATTAATGGGGAGAGAGCGGAGAGTCTGCTCTCGCTGTAGCAACGTTCACAGTGCTAAGGAGAGGGCACGTCCGGAAGCCGCGTACCCCGCGGCGCGTCATGCGCACGTGACCCGGAAAACATTGTATGAGTTGAGGGGCATCCCCAAACGCCATCTTATTTGGCCGGAAGTCCGAAAATCGTTTCATGGGTCCTTTGAGCTGAGACTGGAGCCAAAGACTACAAGCTCAAACTAGCACGCACTCCTGGCTTTGAGACATGCATTTCCAGCGCGAGCGCTCGTTCTGTGAAAGAACGCTTTAAATCAACGACCTCAAGTTCTCGTGATTGTGGCATGGGCTGCAGTTTCAGTTTAGGGCGAACGAAGTATAAGACTAAATTAAGCTAAATTTTTTTTTGTTGTTTTGTAAAAACTATTAAGGAGCGGAATGCCTTGCCTTGAATACGAAACTGTCGTTTTCAAGTTTATTCGCCCCCTGAAATAATGCCTGATGGCGCTGCAGGACCATGATGAATAAGTCACAAAGAAGATACAAAAGACACGGTGTTCACAGGGGACACGATGACAAAATTATTTGCGGACACGCCTTAATCATGTTAGAAGCTCGTTTTCTTCACGTAGTAGATATATGCTTGAAACATTTCTGCAGGCAGTTTGTGTATGATCAATGTCTGCAGACTGTCGTTGGAATGATGCATTAGCAGTGTGGCCGTGGCTTTAATCGTGTAGGTTTCGTATCTCGCCTTGTATTCGCACTCTATCGCTCAAATACTAATAAAAAAAAACATATTTCACGTGATTAGTTACGGTTCTGGTGATTTCCTGTTTAGACGCTTTAGGGACAGGCGTCGTAGAAACTATCCACATACATACTACTAGCTTCGTGGTTGGTGGCTACAAGTATCTGAAGGGAAACACCACCACGGTCAAGATAATGTAGTACGTCCTACGGTCCTGATTGGAATTGTGACTGGCACATGCGAATTTCTTCAGACTGGCGCATTTTTATAATATAAATATACAAGGGCAAAGCTCTCGAGGGTCGAAACTAAAGAAAAACAGAAAACAAAAGTGGTTGCGTCTGTGTGGGCCAAAGGACCAATCGTATACGGTACCCGAAATCAGCGTAAAGCTGATGCAGTAGACGGCCGGTTTGTTGTCCAGGGCACCTCCGCCATTGGGGCTTCCGTCGCCGACGATGCTGATGTCGACGTGAAAGCGGACGTTCCTCTGGAACATTGTCGTACTGCTGGGTCGCTTGTACTCCACTCGGAAGGACATCGGAGACACCACGCTGTGGCTCAGGTCGGCGATCTGCATTTAGAAACGAATGCCAAGGTGTGCGATAGTCCGTTGCTTGCGTCTCCTTGGCTGAGACCTTAAAGCCAGGGTCACACTGCTCATCCATCATACAAAAGACAGTCTGCAAACACGAATCACCGCAATTTCGGTCCTTCAAATTACCGCGTGCCAAGTTTATCATTAAAGGGCCTCTGACACGCCAAAAAAACTTTTTTTTTTCATGATAGGCGTTGAATGGCATATCAGGACATTACACAAAAATTGTTTCACTATAGAGTTAAGTAGTTTTTTTATAAAAAAATAGAAATACGAGGCCGAATTCAAAGTTTCCGCCAGTGCACTGTGACGTAACAGTGTACCGCAAGGTGTCGGGGCGGTCAGAAGGGAGGCATCGACTTACGTCACTAAAAGTGGGTTCGTCGGAAGTCACGTGCGTTTCACTCCTCGTGCTCTCCGCGACCGTGCCTAAACTTTTTTTTATTTTTTTTTAATCTGCTTTTTGTACGAGCGATCGTAGAAAACGAAAACGAAGTTTCAGTTCCACTAGCTCTTTGTCGCTACACCATTGGTTAGTTTGCGTGCTGTAAAAGTTGAGGACGAAGGGTCAGTGGATCGACGTGATGGAGGTAAATGTTGAAAGCGTTGCGAGTACAAGCCCGTGTACGAGTGCACGCCGTCAGTCCGATGATACAGAGCTATACTGGGCACAAAACAAGCTATGAAGTTTTGAAAAAAAATTTGAACGTTCACAGAAATTAGGATTGCTAGCATACGACACGCCCGATCGCATTGCTGAAGGTTGAGACACCGAGGTCGTTGAATCATCGAATACTCTCCAGGCTGAAGATGCCTGCCGTCTAAAGATTGCGAACTGGTCAGTGTAACAAGTACAAGTAAACGTCAAGCATAAAGTACGTGTTTTGTCTAGAACATGAGCAGAACTTGTTTGTAGTTGCACATGCAGCCGATGCGTCGTGATGCCTGAATTCAAGCCTCCTGAGTGCCGCTGCTGCAGGGAGATGAGCAGGAAACTTACAGACCTGCAGTTGAGGTCTCATATCGAGACCTGTGAGTTTTAGTAAACTTCGCCTAGAGTTTTAATCTTCATCACTAAAGTGCATCGAGCATATCCATCGCCTACCCACGGATAGCTGTCCTGCGGGAACCGCAGTCAGCCACCGGTCCATCTTTGTTGGTTTCTCGGAAATAGATGCAGTGGGATCTCTTTTTCAGTTGCTGAAATACCGGGACAGTCCCTCACACAGCACCTTCTAGGCATTGTAGTTGATCACGTCAATTCACTGACTCTTCTTCTACCTTTTTAGCAACATTAAGCGACGAAAAGCAAATAAAAGAAACCTTGTCTGCTTGGATCACTCGTGGAGATGCGGAGAATAACAAACATATTAAAAGAAATATTACACGCGCTCGAGGTAAGCACGAGGAGGGATACAACTCACGTGACTTCCGGCGATGCCTCCCTTCTGACCGCCCCGACACCTTGCGGTACACTGTTACGTCACAGTGCACTGGCGGGAACTTTGAATTGGGCCTCGTATTTTTTATTTTTTTTTAATGAAAAGAACTACGCAACTCATAGTGATACACTTCTTTTGTAATCTCCTGATATGCCATTTTAGCGCCTAGCATGAAAAAAACAATTTTTTTTTTGGCTTGTCAGAGGCCCTTTAAGCTCATTGCCATGCGGCGCACGGATCGCACGGTGACTCACGCTCGATTCTGTATGCAGACTGTATTTTGTATGATGTATAAGCAGTGTGACCCCGGCTTAAGAAAACATCTTTCCCTATTCTGGTCAGAAGTGAAATAAACATTATGTTCTGTCCTGAAGCCTAGTCAAACTATATCACCTATAAACCCAAGCTCGCATAATACTTACAAAAGATAGCTCTTTCATGTCCTGAAGACTAACAGATATTGAAACGTTACTGAAATCAAGTAACTAAAGATTGTTACTCGTTACTCACTCAAAAAGTAACTAAGTACGTTACTCGTTATGCCCGCGTCCCACTAGAGCGACAGACAGAGACGAAAGACAGCGACAAGCCTCAAACCCACGCAGCATGCTCGTGATGGTACCTTTGGCAGGCGTTTAGTCGTTCGGTGCTCGCGAAGTAAGCACGAGCGATTGCAAGCCTGCCAAAGACACCCTCGCGTACATGATGCTCGTGTTTGAGCATAGCCTCCGTTACTCTACAAAGCGTCTCAAATCGCGAAAGACTCTGGTTTGAGGCTTGTCTTTGTCTTTTGTTTCTGTATGTCGCTCTAGTGGGACACAAGTATTACTGTGATTTTAGAGAAACACGCGTTATTTTTTCGTGTTTCTGAATGTGGTAGGTTTTATGAGGCAGTAGCCGCTTGCAATATTTGTCAACATTTTCTTGATTTTTAACACCTTAATTCAATGATAGCTGTGGCAAGAATGACATACCTTCCGTATCCTTTTATGGTCTTTCTAGCGTTTATCCGTCGTGAAAATTACAATCCCGAGCTGGGGTAAGAACTAAGTTCGGTACTTGTACTGCATACGTGCGCCTCCAGATGCAACTAAACACCGTCATTCGTTGCCTGATCAAGTATTCACAAAAATTCTTGACTCGTTCCTTCTGTTAAGAAGTAATTAGGTCGTCACTTTCTTACCAAAAAAAGTAACCGGTTACAAGTAACATGTTGTTTGTAACGCGTAACGGTTAAGTCTGAAGACTCGCATAACATCGTAGAAGCTCACCGACAGAAAGGCGTGAATGAGATCGGCCTTGACGGAACTTAGAGGACGGTCCTTCACCAGTATCACATGGCTCTCTTCTCTCTCGTTGGTCATCAGGCCGCCGAACCAGGAGCGTTTCGAGAGCCTACAAGATACGTCCATTGTGTCACAAACGTGTTCCTAACTAACCCGTGTTTGGAGAACCACAGGGGATGTTGCACTTACTCTGGCGACGAGTCGGGGGTTAGGCTGACTTCGTCTGACGCGGATGGCACTGAAAAAAGCACAAAAGGTGTTGAACCTACTTGACGGAGGCTCAAAGAAATTTCCCTATTGCAACGCCATGACTGAGATTAGGTGTAAAAAATAAAACATGGATGCCAGTAAGCTGGTATAAATTACTGGCAGAATTGGGGATTAAAAAACAAACAGTCTCCAATATCTTACTTTATTTTTTCGATCGTCTCTCTATGACTAAAGCACCGAAGCCTGCAACTTTACCTCGTATACAAAACAAAAGAACAACACATGTTTTACAATACTTTATAACAGATCAGGGGTTGAACTACAACAAACATTCTGTACACAGCGTTGGCCTCATAAAGGTCATGCAGAAATATTCAGTACAAGGGCCTTGCTATCTTGCTGGTTTTGGCCAGAGGCACTTGCGACTGTTTATAACCGGACAGGCTAAAAACCGGCTTTAAGCCTTTTGTGACTGCTTAGGACCGACTGCGCTGCTGTGCATACGTTTTTAGGCAGTCACAAGAGATTTACAAAACCGATTTTTAGGCCCTCCGGTCCTAAGCAGTCACAAGTGTGTGAACCAGTCTTCATAGAAAGGCGGGTTCTCACTCTTGCAACGGCTTACGATCGGGGAGGCTAAAACCCGAATTTGAAGCCTTTCCTGATGGCTTACGATCTGCTCCGCAGCAGAGCAGCCAGTCGTAAGCCGTCACAAGAGCTTTAAAAACCGGTCGTGTCGCAGCCGGTTTCAGTAAAACGCGAGTGTGTGAACCGGCCTTAACCCTTTCCTTGAGCTCATGCAGGCAGAACACCGTGAAAAGCTACGCCTGCGTCTGTGTTTTCCAGGCCGCCATGCCCACAACTTGTGAGGCGACGTAATTGTAAAGACTGGTCCACTTGCGTTTGGTTGCAACTGTGCCACAACTGGTTTTATGTCTCTTGTGACTGCTTCCGACTGATCAAGCACAACCGGTCGTAAGCAGTCACAAGAGGCCTAAAAATCGGCTGTGTCGGAGGCGGTCGTAGCCCAACAGAGGTGTCTGAACCAGCCTTAAGATGGACTTTCTTAGCGTGTGGTGCGGCAGTGGCGCCCTCTCACTCTGCATCTTCCTCCTGTGGAAGCGCGGACTTCCCAGGAAGCTGTTCTTGATGGTGTGGAGCCGCGAGCGCCAGTAGGGCTGGCTCAGGGACGGGGAGCCCGGCGGCGTGTTGAGGGGGCTCTCGTCCGGGGTCGTGGCGCCGCGCGGAGAAGGCCTGGGCGAGTTGAGCGGGGACACCGCGGGACTCGGGATGCCGCTGCCCGGATGCAGGCCGCCGGCGCCGCTGCCGCGACGCATGCTGCAAGTACCGCCCGCGAAATAGGCGATCAGCGACCGTAACCCAATCTCTGCCTCGTTCCTCCTTAGGTCCTGACGCAGTCGACGTTACGAGTGTGATGAGACCAATCATAAACAGAAAAGGCATAGTGACTTGCGCTCTTGCCGCTGCTTGATTGGTCCCGTTAGCACGTGGCGTCGGCTACGCATGGATTTAAGCTGAAACGAAGTATAAAAATGTCCTTCTGGGCGCTGCCATATTTGTCTACTGTGCCTTAGAACGTGTTTTGAGCATGCGCTACTCTTCCGAGTAATATCAGGCGCCACAGTACAGTGACTCCGCGGATTTCACCTGGGCGATAAGGGCTGCAAATGGGCATTCGCAACTCCATAAAGCCTAGAGTTGAAAGAGGAACCAACTCAAGTAATGGGGACCGTTATCAATTTAATAGTTTGCGCAAATTGCTTGCACTTCTGCATGCGTGCGTTGTCCCTTAACAAGGAGTATAGACGTTTTCTGTGTACTCTCGTCTCCAACCACCTATTAGGCGTATCCGGTATGGGCGACGAAAAATAATCCAACGTTTCAACCTGCAAATTGTAAAAAAATAAAGGGGAGGCAAAACGACAAAGTGTGATGTTTACGCTTATATCCTAAATGCCTTCTATTGGCGTGGCAAAGGCAAAACAATGTTTTCGCCCATACTGGAAGTAACGTCAATTCAAGATGGCGGCGCACTTGCAGAAAAGGTCTATAGAGGAAGGTTAGAAGGAAGCGTTTAGAGACGTTCAACGCTTTCGCAACCGTCTATTTTGCATCCTACACGCGGCCCATAAATCACGTGACCCAGGTCGAGCAGTTGGAGTCACTCTCAGACTACGCAACTCCAAAAGAGGCGACGCCACCCAGCTGAGCAAGGGGCTGCCGCCCATAGAAAGGAACAGTGAAAACTGGCTTGGGCTGGTCACTTATACTTCGTCTCACCTAAAGTGTCCTGAGGAGGTTTCTGAGATCGCCTGAATATAGCGATTACTAGCTCTGCTGACTCTAAGCATCCTAGAAATCCCAAAATCACGACGGTAGGCGGTCGATTTCCATTTTAAAAAAGCAATCAAAGATCGCAGCACACCGATATCATCTTCAGCGTTCGGGCAGTGGTGAAGAGCGGGCGTGCGACATGCCGTGATATTAGGGAGTTTTAGTAGACCGTGTTTCCCCCTCCGCTAACCCTCCGCTACGGAGAAACCGCCACTGCGCCTGCGCGCCGATGGCCTTGGCTGTAGAGTTCCGGGTAGCAGAGGGGCTTAGCAGAGGGGGAAACACGGTCTACTAAAACTCGCTATTAGCGGCGCCAAAAGTGCGTCGTCAGAGAACGCGCTGTCTTCGGAGATTCGCTATCACCCGGATCGGCGATTGGGCTTTCGCCTTCAGTCGTCTTGGGAATAACATGAGACCCTGTGTCAGCGCTGGTGAGCAGATGCTCACCAGCGCTTATAGGCAACCTGCAATGCTGTTTGGTTTGGCGCCATCTAGCGACTGAAGGAAGAAATATGGGGTACCCCCTGGGAGTGGGGGCTGCATTGTTCAAACGTGAGCTTTTACTCTGGTGGCGCCGCTTAGCCTAGTGTCTGAAGCAAGAAATACTGGGTATCCCAGGAAGCCGGGATCGCGTAACGTGCCAGTAGAGCGGAGGCTACGGAACTGGCGGGCCAATCGGAACGTGACTGCATATCACCAGAGCGCGCCTCAACTCCGAAGAAGTATCAGGCTTTTCGCTGCGTCATGCTCCGATATGTGTGCGTTGCGCTCGTATACATCGCACATTTCGATGCCTTTGCCACGCAATGTGGGGCTTATAGTTCACCCTTTGCCAAGTTACAACGAGACAGGGTATAACCGTGCGCTCTCACCCTGCTGGCGCCGCCTGTCCATTGCCGGCTGGCTATATGCAATTTCTATGTTTACAAAATCACAGCTGTGGTTTTTTTCAGACGATTATTTCAGTATACATTCACAGTCCGCAAACAAATGTTCATTCTTCGACTACTCTTACTTGCTTCTATCATCTACAGAACATACACATTTCGTAATAACATCGTTTGCAATGGAAGAGGTTTTGCAGCGGATATCGGAGGCGTGTTTCGTGTAAGTCGTTTCCTGATGTCACAGTTTCGCCTGACGTGACGTCCTTTGACACTGTGACGTCACATGGCATAAAGGTTAAGTGTGCTACGTGATTGTGTGTGGTCGGTGAGCAGCAAAGTTGGCAGCAGAGTGTAGAACGCTTCGGCTGTCGCCGCTGTTTGCTGGCAGCACGCGGCAAGGATCCGGGAATCTTTTTTTCCCCGACCCATTTAGAGCCGACAGACACGCCAACGCGGTCCAGTCCGCCGTGTACGCCGTCACAGAAACGATTTGTGGAGTTACATGTGAACGTATTCCACACAAGTCACAGCTCTCTCAACCGGTCTGCGAACACGCAAGTTAAGTTTGCGCAAAATCGGTCGACCGGGCTGCTTTCAGTCAGCTCCACATTAAGCTTGACATTGAAGGATACATGCAACTTCTGGGCTTTGACGTACTGCCCAAAGCGCAAGACTGTACTACCGCAAGTTCAAGGGATATTCGATTTACCAATACCTCCCTAAGGGCACATGAGGCGCATCTGCAAGATAATGTAAATCCGAGTCTGCGCTTCATGTGTCGTACATGTTTCTGCCTCTGTCTTCGCCCTCTGCGCAGCATATTTACTTCATTAGACATGAAAGAACTAGCCCGCCAAAAGATGTTACTCAAAGATTTGTCGTGACTCTATTCGCATATTTCTACATATGGAACGAGTTTAAATTAAATTGATATCTGTTTAAAAACATGCTACTTCTGTGACAGCCATGTAACCTAACCACGTATGTTGGTGATGGTCAATTTACTTCGTGGTTGGCGGTTGACACTTACCCGTACGGGTACCTCCGCGGCGTGATCGGAGATCCGTCGCTCAACATGTCGAAGGAATATCTATGTGAAACAAAAAGAGGCAGGTTAAATAATTTGCTTTGTATTTGACCCAAAAGAAATAAGAGCTGAATAACGGCAATCTATATAAAATGATTTTATAAAGTAAGGGTTTGTTCTATGAACTCCTAGGAAGACATCGAAGCCACTAAATATTTTGGCAGTAGCCTTATTTTGACGCGGGTCATAATCATCTGAAGGAGTAGAAATTGAAGTAGGGAATTGGTCGCCTGTGTCGCTTACGGCCATCCTTCTTCCCAAATGCTTCGTTTTCGATTTAAAGATTTTGCGCCACTCTAAAACGTTGGCCCATACACTTGTGTTAAAAAGGCTTATTAAAAGACATGATTTTCTTCCGAAGTAATTACAAAATTATTAATAAAATGATATCTGTTTCAATCCGCAGTAGAACCTTTCAAAACGGCACATCATCATTCTAACAAGCGTGGTACTGTTTCCGAAGTACGTATGTTCGCAGTTCTATTATGTAACATAATGTTGTTTACTTGCAACACCTTTGGTAGAGGATGCAACTTTGAAACCAGATTTATGTCTTAGAAGCCACTGAACGCTCGAACATGAAAGTTTTAGAATTACATCTTCGAAATATTTCCTCCTTCGGCTCACAACACATCACAAAATGTCGTGCACATCATTCGTATGTACAAGCTCTTGAGTTCTCACCTGGGACCCGCTCTTCCGTTGACTTGACACGTATCCACTCTTTTCCGTGGTGGGTCAGCTGATAAATAAGTAGACATATTGTAGCCAAACCACAACACAACATAACATATACAGCAACAATGCAAGCACGCACTAGGTAATTGTTTTACGCGCTAAGCATTCATTCCTTTTGAACTGAGTCCGTAGTAAGTCTGTTTTTCTAGAAAATATTCATTTATGCACTATAAAAAACCAGCTTGGAGGTTAAAAAATGCGAACCCATCCTCGATCCTTGGTGAGAAATGCTCCTGTGGTTTAAATAAGCGAAGACTGGTGCCTACAAGGTTAAGATATCAATATTGTTTTATTCAATATAACTTTTAGGAGCTACTACAGTGATTTAACGTAAACGAAATTGCTACTCATTTACGACTACTCGCTGTCAAATGCACTTAATACGAAACTGTCGATGCGTAGCCACTGTCAGGTGATTGGGGACCCTTTCAGCAGTTCACCATTCTACGTGATCAGACTGGATTTGATAGCGTGCGGGCCTCAAGGCAGTTATGGAGGCGCCTTAAGAAGCAGCATGCTACCATTAAATAATTGTATTGTATTTTCAGGGCTATAGTTCTTTCGACAATACATCTTAAAAAGTTGAAATTTTACCCGATGCGGACGATCTACAGGTGCGGACTATACAAGGATTTTTTTTTCTAGACTGTTCACTGTGACAGGACGTCATAGATACAAAAATATCGGAGCATGTTAATGTTGATTTATGTATGAGGCAAGCTTCCTTGTCAGGTTATACGTCAGGCATTTGTCAAGATGTGCTGTGTAGGATCATTTTACGTTCGGATTCGTCAATAAGTACGGACTATACACGCCGTGCGGACTATAGTCCAAAATACGGTAATGTAATGGAGACTCTTTGCTTTCCAACAATACAATATTTTAGTATGTATCCACTTTGGTTCAGATTCAGCCTCATACTTGACATATTCAGCCTTCAAGGTAAATAATTTCTAAACATATCGCATTCTCATTAAATGAGTTCCGACCTGAATTTTCTCGCCTATCTTTCTTGGCGCACTGCGAGGGCTGAGTTTCATGCCCGTTTCAGTGCAATGCCGCTTTGTCGTACGGCGAAATTACTCGGCGATTTTGATCATGGTGCCGTTCAGCGTCAGATTGTACTTTGTGAGCTTTGTCTTCTTGAACCAATCGGTGTGCACGTATGACATCAGCTCCACCGAGATAGAATTAGAATCTTTCCCTGACTTTTAGATTTCTTTAATTGTCAAACGCACATTCAACAACACAAAAATTAGATCTGCAAAACACATACACTTTAAAACTTCTAGATTTTTTTTTTCATTCCAGGTTATTCCAGTTTGTAACTTGAAGCTAAAAAAATAGATTAAGGTAATACCCTAGTCACATGGCAAAGTTGTTGTCATTTCCAACAAATGACATTCCCTGATCGACCAATTAAACGCGCGCCACTTCTGGCGCGGCACAGTGCGCGCGTTTCGATCATAGTTAACATCACGAGCTGGTTCGCCGATCACTTAATGTCATCCGATATACATGACCTCCACTTTGCCCTGTGGCGTGGGTATGAAGCGGTCGCGTGTGAAGGTAGAAGCAGCCGAAGGACTTACGTCTATTTTCCTTACCCGATTCGGACCGGCTACGGATAATGATCTCGGTCTCGTCTTCGTACGAGGGTTTCCGGCGCTTCCGGTCAAGCAGCAGGAAGTAGATCACTTTCTCCGTGTTGTGGCTGCGCACGAGCAGAACGAAACAAGCGCGTGAGCACATGATGCCAGCTGCTTTTCTACTCGCGCAGACAAGAAACGTTGGCGTGCAAGCTATTCTAAGGGACATGTAGGGTCTCTCTTGATATCCTTCCGGCGAAATCTCGTGCTTTCAAAATTTCTAAATTTTTTTTTGCTTTCTTTTAATTGATAGTTTTAAGGGTGACACTTTGGAGGGATTTTGGTGTCGGCGTTTGTTGTCTGTCATCGCAGCGGCGATGGAAAGACCCTTCTTCTCTTTCCTCATGAAGCGAGGAGAGAGAAGTCGCATGTTTCCATTGGCCGTGTCACACGATGATAAAAGAGAGGAGAGCCACAACGACCGACTAGTAGCGGTGCGACGACGAAAAAGTGTCAGCGGATAGCCTTTTACGTCGCCTGCTAACGATAACATCAAAGCAGGTGTTTTGAAACTTGCGTTATACGAGATCCCACTCTGGCACTATACAGCTTCAGCGCGTAAGGCTCGAGGGTTTGTGAAACCTCCACCGCGTTTGACTTTACTATGACATCTCTACTTCTCGAACCCAACTCGAAGCGTAATATATGTTCTGCCAAAATACGTTGCCTTGCACCCTCCTTGCTCGCAGAGCTTCGCCTCGTTTATCTGCATGCGTCCCTCTCTCCGCTCATCGCTAAACATCAACATTACCCCCTCCCTTCACCGCTCAACAACATCGGGGAAACATGCGCCTTCGCTTGCGTCGTCACTGCCACTGACTTTTCATAATTGCGCCGCCGCGCCAAGGCCATACTCCGTCCCAGGAATGAGCGCGGAGGGAACGGCTGGCTTCCGCGGCTCGCGACCGGTGTCGCGTCCACACTGATGGCCAACAAGAGGTTGGTGGTCGGTTTGCCTACTTACTTAAGCGAGCATCCAGTTTCTCGCCTTGCCCACTTACTTTACTGATCACCGAGCACTCGTGGCAGTCGTCAGTGGCATTTATGGCGTCAACCACGACGGCAATGTGCACTAACCACTTCGCAACTCCGTCCTCTGGTACGAGACGACGCCATTTTTCCCGCAATGCGCGAACTTACTACGGCTATCGCTTTTAGTTCTTCGCACATTAAAGCCAAAAAAGGCTTTTTTTTTTTCTAACTGGACAGGGTCAGCCAGCGTTCTCCCGGTGTTGAATGTCACAGATATCTTGCTTCTAGACAACGCTGTGGCGGTTTAATGTTCGGCTAACAACTCTGGTCAAACTCCTGCTGCCCTATGAGTTCCCAACTTCTCCATGGCTTGAATTTTCGTCTTGTTTTCCGCGTCCTTTTTATTTTAGCAGAAACACAATGCACTCTACCATAACCTCCTCTATATTCACAAACCCAAAAGTTCGACGACAGAGCCATGGAGTACCCCGTCGCAGATTTGGAGCGCGAGGATCTGGTAGCACAGAGCATAAAAGAGCCATGCATTTCTGGGGGATCTTGGACGTCAGGGCACAGCTTTTGCAGTGGCGAGGACCCGAAACAGAACTGTTCGCTCGGAAGAAGTGTGTTTCGGCGTCTCGCCGCAGCGAGGCGCCAGTCACGAGGCTCTCCTCTCATCCGTTGTCTGCCGCTCCACCTTTTCCTATTCGGCGGCCGCTTCTCGCGGCGATCTGCCAGGCTTTGTCAGTATATATGAGGTTATGACTCTACTCACTATTAGGATTGGAACGGTGGGGAAGTTCTTTAGTTGTGCCGCCTCCATCGCAAGCTTCTTTCATAACGCCTCAGTGTTTCGTGAGCACTGAGCATGCACGCGTAGCCAAAGCAGATGAAAGGCAACGAGCGCGCACTGTAGGCCGGGCATCGGAAAGAAAATGACCTGCCGTTTTCATCCTCTTAGTAGCCACAGCGAACTAACGCTGTGTGATGCGTGAATTCCTTCTTGTTGACCTTGTTATTAACTGCGCTGTTTTTCACCGTTCAGGTCTAAGAAATACAGGGCGTTTCGTTTTAGGATTTTCAGATTTGTTTTTAAAAAGCCGTAAAACCTTCCTGGTTTGTAGAAATGAGTTGTACGACCGGGGGACGCAATATAGGAGATAATCCTCGCAATATGTCGGTTAATTAAATAAATAGGTTAATAAACGTTTAAAATTAGTAAGAATACAGATATAATTCTAATTCTAACTTTGGGCTGCTGCCAACGCTATGAGCTCGCGCTTCTAGCCTTCGCTGCGGTACAACATACGGTGAAACGGAGTATAGTCTTTATTCCCGCTAACTGAAAAGTTAATTTCCATATTCTAGTTAATTAACCGATTTATCGTGACACTTAGTCCCTTATATTTTGTGCCCTGGCCGTATAACTAACCTGCATGGACCGCATTAATGTAGTTTTCACGGCTTTTTTTTACGAATCTGTAAAGCTTAAAAGAACACCCTGTGTATTCATGCGGTACAATTATAGGATTTTGAAATATCATAACGTGCACCTGAAAGAAACTGATTCATATGGTTCACCGGAAAGTTTAGCCGTCATTCTACTAAAGAGTGTTTTACTGACATGCACACGCAAGGAGTCAAACATGCGTAGGAATGAATGAGGCGAGACATTCGGGAGAATCATGAGTTGGAATTGCAAATCCAACGACTTGCGGGTTGGCACTAGCGCTCTAAATGCCCGTTCACACACTTGCGACTGGTTCGGAGAGCCCGCCTCTTAAAGCCTCTTAAAACTCTCCCACGCCGAGAGGCGCCAACAATCGTATGGCTGTGAAACACTTAGTTTCCGTATATTTTCAACTTTTCGACTTTTCGAGTTTTTTTTGTTTTTTTGGCTGGAAAGATTTTTGACAATGTTATAAACAATTATTTCTAATAGATAATACGTACAATTAATCTCGAAATTGGCGCAGAACCTTCGAATGCAATTCCAGGATCGCCTCACAGCTGTCGCTAGCGTGCCAGTGAGTTCTCCCGTCGTAAGAGGTCACAAGAAGTCGGTCCTAAGCAAACGCAAGTGTGTGCACGGGCCTTTGCGTGAGCGACTGTCGACAACCTTAATACAAATAAAGTATATCGGAAAAATATGCATCTTGAAAATTCATTTTTCATAGCAGGGATAGGCTAGCCTATATGTAGGAGTGTAGCTGGTCCCCTTGTGACCGGCAACATAATTATTATGTTGTAGGTTTAAAACCTACAACATAATAATCGAAAATTGAGGTCAAAAAGAGAAATCTGAGGTGCTTGAAAGGTACGCAATACCCAGAATATTTGCGAACTACGGAAAGAGAATAAAATGTCATTATATTCCTTCCCTCTTTAATAAATTACCCGATAATTTGATTAGTATATTATCCATGCGAACGGCTAAGAAAGCTCTTAAAAAGTGGTGTCTAGAGTGTAAAATCTGATTTCCCTGTTGTTTAGTGTTTTTTCCTGAGTAATTTCTGTGTTTTTTCCTGAGTCATTCCTGAGTCATTTCTGATTTCCCTGTTGTTTAGTGTGTTTTTTTCCTGAGTCATTTCTCTGTTATGCGATGTTGATGTTCAATTGTTGTCTATTTTGGTATGTTCCACGTGAGTCGTATGGTGTTTAAATTTCTTAGAATTTCAGTGTTCGGTGATATGTTTGATTTTCGTATGGAGAGTAGTCTCATTTACATGGCGCAAATATTGCTGTGTTTTACAATTCTGTTTAATTTCTTTATTTATAGTGCTACTTGCAATACTGCCTTCTATTCCTTTTATTTTGTAAAGATTTTGATCTGCCTGGTCCCACGGACAAGCAATCTTCTTTGCTTTTGTGGGCCAGTTATTGTAAGTGTTTTTTCAAAGGAATAAAAGACATTATTATTTATTATTAAATACGCCCGTCCTAAATTTACGTACAAAAATGTCAACCAACCACCAATATTTAATGTGCATCAATACGGAGAAAGTAATCACCACCGACAATGATAACAACGTGCAATAATTGTTCAGCACGATATTGTCTACCCTCATCGGAATGTTGCAGTCAACCAGCACACATAATGAAGAAATTGATCATCCGAACTGGACTCGTACATTTAAATTATTAAATAACTTTGCTCCGTCTTTAATTAACCATCGTCGTCGGTGTACTTATATAATGTGCCAGTCGTAAACATGGCTTCTCTATTTTATGAGTCACTGCTGCGCGCAGTCGCGGCAGGGGAGTGCAGCGACGCTAACTCACGTCGTACTGAGCAATTCCTTGACCAGTCTCTCCTTGTCCTTGAAACATCCTAGAGAAGTCATGTTCGACAAGACATCCGGGTCGATGTCGTCCACGCAGGGAATGATGTGGGTCTGTTGTGGACAAGACATGAGAACACTCAGAAAACAGCACAAGTGTAAACAATCCGGCGTTAAAGAGAGAGCAAGTCAGGACGTCAGAATAACCAAGGTACCCAAACGATCTCCTAAAAACGACCCACTGAGACGACACGTATTCTCGCTGTTTGAACAAAACAAAAATGTAACAATGAATTTGTTTAGAAGCTTTAATTAAATCGGAATTATTCGAGCAATCAAAAATTTAAAATATGCGACGACGTTCTGGATAATGTTGTTAGGTGATTAAAACCCAGTCACTCTGCTCATACATCATGTCTGCGGACAAAAACTGTCTGCGGACATGATGATAGAGTTATCTGCGGGCACGCCTTAATCACATTTGGTTCGTACATATGTACACCCGCCGGAAATATGAAGGTGAACACGTTACCTGGTCTCTTGCCTGTTTTAAGGCTCCCTAAAGCTATATTAACTCTCAACGTCTCAAATGGTGCGTGGCCAAGGGTCTAAACTTTACGTTCTAGCCCTCTTCTGGAACAGAGCTTGTTCCAAGACTTGCAGGAGCGTCAAAACAAGAAGATGACTGCTCACCTTCATATCGCTCACGGGTGTACGCTTTGAACGAATCTGCAGACAGTTTTTGCATGACCAATGTTACAGGGCCTTAAAATAAGGAAGAAACGATCCTCAGACAGACTGCCTTTTGCATGAGGTATTACATGATTAAAGATTAAAACAGCGCAAGGACACGGACAAGAACAAGAAGGTAGACAAACAAGGCGCTGTTTGTTTCATGTTCTTGTCCGTGTCCTTGCGCTGTTTTAATCTTTAATCATGAAATACCAACTAGCCCAAACTTCTACTTTAATGAGGTATTAGTAGTGTGACCACGACTTTAAGCGACCGTCCACTCTCCGCTTTTGCGTTAGAAAGTCGTTCTAACATTAATGTTTACTTCGTCGGCGGTGTTCGAAGTTGCCGGAAAAGAATTTGAGATGTCCGGCCCGGAGCTTAGGCGAAAGGCATGTCTTCTTTTTATTATTGTACCACCGGCTCCCGAGATCCACTAGAGCGAGCAAGAGCGAGAGCCTGCACGAGCAACTCGTGCTTGCTGTGCTCGGTTCTGTGGCGAGCTCATTGTTTTCATTTAGAGCACAAAGGATTTTTTTTAGTGAGGCAGGTATCAAGAGGTGCGACTCTACAACTTTATATATGCGGAGAACTAGTGCCACTAAATAAGCTACGCTTCAGAGTAACGACACTTGGCCATATTGTGGCTTAAAATCATGGCTGCCAGTTATCTGGAGCTCTATCTGAAATCACAGGAAACGCTTTTCCGTCCTCCACAAATGTTTAAGCAGTTCGCGACAGAGCAAATCAATATTACAAGAGCTTTCTAACACCGAATATATTGCTGAGGAAGCCGCACTTCTGAATCAAGACGATCGGCAGTTGCGTCTGCTCTGCACAAGCCCCAAAATGGCGGCGCCCACAACAATGTCGGGGAACGGAGTGCCGATACTCTAAGCGCAGCTCATTTAGTGGCTCTACGGAGAACAAGTCGTCGGCTTATTGCGCGGGAGTGGCGGTTACGTCAGAGCGACGCCGAGTCCTGATTGGCTCTGATTGAAAGGATATCAAGTACACCTCAAGGAATCTGGGACTATGGTCTACGCACTGTATTGTTACGCTTTATGCTCAGCGTATCTCGCCCATGCTGTTCTCTTCTATCCTTTTAATCCAAACCTCATTTCTTCTTCTTCCGTCACGCTATCCCCTCACAAAAAATAAATGACAGTAAGTTCAGTTCAAGCTGAGCAGCCCTCGTACCGAGCAAGGCGGTTTCTGTGAACCACGAGCATGCGCGAACGAGCATTGCGTTGCACGCGGTTGAACCCCATGGTTCAAGCGCGTGACAACAATGAATGGTCCTTGCGAGTTACGCTGTAGTTTGGGCTAAAGCCCCCGTTTCCGCAGAGGGTTGTAAAGCCACACTTTGTCTCCCGGTTGAAACATTTCTTGCGTGGTGTGCTCGTCGTATCGTGCCTTCATTCGCTGGAAAGCGATAGACAGGCGCCCTCGAACAAAGTCGTATGTCCGCTCGAGACGCATCATCAGGTCACTAAGATAAGACGCGGGGTCAGAGGAACGGTCTGGTGATCTTGAGAAAGCGAGGTCGCACGGCATGCGAATTTTTTGTCTAAAAAGAATCATGGCGGGTGTGTACCCGGTGACTTCGTGAACTGCTGTTCGGTAGGAGTAGAGGAACAGAAGGACAAAGCAGTCCCGGTCGTCAAGATGGTCGTTGACAAACATCGCCAAATGCTGCAGTATGGTGCCATTAAAACGCTCCACGAGGCCATTGGACTGTGGATGCAGTGGCGTCGTTCTTGTTTTGGTGATGTTGAACAGTCGACAGACATCCTGAAAGACCTGTGACTCGAAATTTCGTCCTTGTTGTGAGTGTAATGACAAGGGTGCGCTGTACCGGGATATCCAGTTACCAAAGGACCTGCCACGACAGGGGCGGTTTGGCCAGGAATAGCGATGGCTTCTGGCCATTTCGAGAAATAGTCTACAATGACAAGGAGAAACCTGTTGCCAGTTTGCGTTCGTGGTAGAGGACCGAGAACGTCTATGGCGACCCGTTCAAATGGTGCTCCACTGACGCGTTCTTGCAATGGAGCCTGTACTTTTTTGTGTGGGCCCTTACGCGAAGCGCACAGGTCGCACTGACGGCACCACAACTTGACATCATTGTGGCACTGAAACCAGTAGAAACGCTCACGTATCTTCTGAAGGGTACGGTTGACGCCAAAATGGCCTCCTTCGGGCCTGCTGTGAAGCTGTCGAAATATTTGGGCGCGGAATTCGGGTGGTGCAACTAGTTGCCACACGACTCGGTCACCAGTGGGTGTTTCCCAGCGTCGGTACAGAAGACCGTCACGTAACTCTAGTGTGTCCCACTGGGCCCAATAGCTTAATGCTGCTGGAGATAGGTGGGATATCTCAGAACGTGGTGGCCGACGGCCGTTTCGTTTCCACTGGACGCACAGGCTGACATCAGGATCATGTGACTGGGCCTCTTGTATTTCTTGCGGTGACCACATGCTGTTGGAGATGGTGGCGGGGCAGAGGGTGCGACTCAGGCCCGAATTACGGCGAATCATGCTCATGCACTGTCGACAGGAACCCTCACTACATGGACGCCTAGAGAGGGCGTCGGCGTTGCTATGGTGTGATCCTGCACGATGTTTACTCTCGAACTCGTACTGCTGTAGATGTTCTATCCAGCGGGCAACTTGATTTTCTGGTTCTTTAAAACCAAGAAGTTATGTCAACACTGCGTGGTCTGTGCGGATTATAAACTTCCTGCCACACAAATAGTGATTGAAATGGGAAAGAGCCTTGACAATAGCGAGAAGTTCACAACTTGTGGTGCAATAGTTTCGTTCTGGCTTTGTGAAGGCTTTGCTGTAGTAGCCAATTACTCGTTCATGGCCTTCCTGTTGTTGAGACAGTACTGCACCTGCCGCGGTATTGCTCGCATCTCTGTCCAGAAGGAACAGCGCGTTGTCTCTTGGGCAAGCCAGCGCTGGGGGCGACGTTAGCGCAGACTTTAGTGCGTCAAAGGAGTCTTGGCATTCAGTAGACCATTTGAATACCTTGGACTTCTCGGTCAAGGCATATAGAGGCTTGGCGACTCGTGAAAAACCAGGAACGAAGCGCCGGTAGTACGTCGCCAGGCCGAGGAAGCCCAGCACGTCAGCACCTGATGTTGGAGATGGCCAGTCGGTGATTGCTGATAACTTCAGTGGATCAGGAGAGACGCCACTGGCTGCCATAACGTGTCCTAGATATTGGGCTTCCCGAGCAAAAAGGGTGCATTTTTTAGGGGTCAACTTCAGGTTTGCGTCTTGAAGTCTCTTGAGCACCAACTCGAGATTAGTCAGGTGTTCGGTGAAGGCCTTTCCAAGGACAACAATGTCGTCTAAATACACAAGGCAAGCGGACCAGGTTAGTCCCTCGAGGACTTTTTCCATTAGTCGTTGGAATGTTGCGGGAGCGTTGCATAGCCCAAAGGGCATGACTGTGAATTGATAGAGCGCTTTGCCGGTGTTGAAGGCTGTTTTTTCGCGGTCTGATGAATGTACGGGAACTTGCCAGTAGCCGCTCTTGAGATCAAGGGTGGAGAACCAAGTAGACTCCGCGAACGCGTCTAGGATACCATCTGTCCGTGGTAGTGGAAAAGAATCTTTCTTTGTGATGTGATTTAGCTTCCTATAATCGATGCAAAATCGAGTTGATCCATCCTTTTTTTTACAAGGGTGATCGGCGAGGACCAGGGTTCATAGGCTGGTTCAATGACATCTTGTCTGAGCATTTGTTCAACGAGGTCATTCACATGTGAACGCTTCGCCAGTGGTAGTCTACGAGGCGCTTGCCGAATGGGGTCTTCATCACTGGTTATGATGCGGTGCGTAGCCAAATTGGTATTTCCTAAGTCAGTGTCGCTACTGCTGAATAGAGCCGAAAAACGTGAAAGTAAACTCTGCAGTTGAACAGCGTCATTCTCTTGAAGGCGAGGGGCAGTGGCAGCATAGAGAGGTATAAGGTGAGTTTTGAGACCAAGAGAACACGGTGTTAGAGAGTTTAATGGCAGCCCATTCGCATAGCACACTGATACAGTCGCCGAGCCGAGATGAAATGCCTGTGCCCCAACGTGAAGGGTCCCTTGAGCAAAGTCGAGCACGCATTTGTGGGTCTTTAAGAAATCCATTCCTAGTATGCAGTCGTCAGTTACTTCTGCTATGACCACAGGTAGTGTCGTCTGCGGGACACCAACTTGGAAGGGAACATTGGCTTGTCCCAAAACTGCAAGGGTAGCGCCAGTTGCAGTTTGAAGACTGGCGTCAGGTCCCACAGGCATGGCTGAGAGATGTAACTGGTCGAAGACTGTGGGTCGGACGACTGAGTTTGTGTCTCCGGTGTCTATCAATGCCCGCACAGGGACGGCATTCTTGTACCTTGGAGGTAGATGGATGAGGGTGAAGCTACCGAGCAAGTAGAAGTAATTTTTTTTTTTTTGCGTGACGCTCCTTGAGCACCCGTTGGTCGGGCATCTGGGGGTGTAAGGGGACATTGCATCTTGCTGTGTCCTTCTTGTCGGCAGTTCCAGCAGATCAGCGTTGGTAGGACTGAGGCGGGTGCTGCAGGTGGATGCCTCGTAGCCAATCGTGATGCATTACGGGCGGCCTCCACTTCTAGCGCATAAATGCGGGCGGCTCGAAGTGTTTGAGGACGAGAAAAGCGGACTGCATTTTGAATCTCAATTGACGCAATTGCATCAATAAAAGCCGCAGTGCCAACGGCATCTACAGTCTCTTCAGGCGAACCCACGAACGATAAGCCTGTAAGACGCTCGATGTCGTCAGCGAGCTGAGACAACGTCTCACCCGAATTTTGTCGCCGGTGGCGCAGTTGGGTGTGGTGTAGGTAGCGTTGATGCCCATCGCCGAAGCGTTGCTGCAACGCTTGGACTAGAGAGGTGTACGACGTACGAGAATCTGGCGACATGTGGTGAAGGACCTGTAATGCTGGACCTCTGAGATTTACTGCAAGTACCTGCGCCTTTTGCTCGTCGGTCCATCGATTGGCGGCAGCGAGGATCTGAAATTGTGTCGCGTAGGCGGACCAGGTGCTGGTGCCGTCAAATTGTGGCGCCCGTAGCTTGAGATACGTAGCAGACGGATCGATGGTCGGTTGAGCCGTGGGTGGAAGATCATTTTCACCGGTTGGTAGGGAGCTTGGTTGTGCCAGCGCTCGAATGCTTTCGACGATTGCGACTGATGTTCTCTCGAAGGAGCTTGAAATGGCCTCCAGGAGAGCCGCATCGCGTTGCCTGAGCTCTTGGGCAGCCCGCTGGTGGTGGACATCCAGCAGAGCTGCAATGGCGGTCGAGACAACGGGATCAGGAACTGATCGGGGCGGGATGACTCCTCCTCCAGGTTGCGGAAGCCCATCGTCAGGTTGTCGAGGAGGGTCCATGCTTGCCGGAAGACGGTGTCCCGAACGGAGCTCCACTTCTGACACCAGTTGTTACGCTTTATTCCCAGCGTATCTCGCCCCTGCTGTTATCTTCTATCCTTTTAATCCGAACTTCACTTCTTCTTCTTCCTTCACAATATTTTTAACAATTAGAGCTCGGCTTCTGACATCATCGCACCCCTGTGCACGAAGCAGACGAACTTCGGGGGGGATCGACGGCCGAGTGGGCTAGCGGACACCAGCTCGGAGCACGTGGAGCGAAAACTCGCGCTGCAAAAAAATTGGGTTGTGTGTATGTTTATACAGCCTAGAACTTGGTCTGCCTCACAGGGGCGACGAGTCTCCCAGCTGTAGATGAGAAATGAACCCAGGGATCCTGGGTTCAATCTTCACCCTTTCCCGTTTAGCTCTGGATGAGCATCGTACCGGCGCGCGGTCGTGTATCACTACTGCGTGGTGCACGTTAAAGACCCCTAGACTAGCGGTTGTACTGCACTGGCTAAATTGCTCATCTACTGCTGAGAGACAAGTAGCCCGTTGATGCAGACTAACTTCAGGCTGTATGAACACACACACACCCATCTCTTTTTTTTGTTTTTGTTTCAGACGAATTTATGTTTTGGATAAAAAAAATGTGTGCATGCTCACCTGCACAACTTCCCTCATGGGCAGCTCCAACTCCAGCTCTGTCTTGCTTCCGCTGTAGAAAAGAACAAGAACCAAAAGGATCGAGAACTGCAATCTGGCTGCGGCACAAAGCATGCTTCCCGCAGTTTACGATGTCCCAGTCATCCACGTATGGCGGAAGTCATCAAGTAATGAGTCATTCATGTAACTTAATTGTAGAATGTCATTCGTACGGGTTCTGGTTTTTGATTTAGTGCTTTACTTAAATTTTGTGACAACACAAATTATAATATATATATATATATATATATATATTTATTCCGATCAAGAAAACATGCCCGCGTGTCTTCTGGCGCATGGGTAGTATAGTCGCTATAGTATAGACCCCAATGGCGCTGTGCTGATCAGAGGGGTTTTATGAAGGGTTTTGATGGTTTTCATATTGTCCTTTTCATTTCCTCATCGGTTTACTTGAAAACAGATCTAACAAAAAGGAGTATTAATATACATATGTTGTTTTTTTCGTAACTTTAATCCCCTATATGTATAGCTGGCCCCTGCTCTCTGATGTATCGAGCAAAAATAAAATCAAACTATGTTTTGATTCACCGTATTTGTGTAGTAACTTCAATAATCTGCATTGGTTATGGTTACGGAAAAGTATATCCAAGAGCTGTTATCAGAAGTTCAATATTATGGCGTGCTGCGAGGAGATGTGTACGTTAAAACTAGGAAAAATTAACGTACTGAAGTCAGGCATAACACGCGCGTCTTGACTTATTTTATTTCGCAAGGTGAATCCCTATAACTCGAACTGAATTTATTGGTAATTAGGGTACATTATTTTTTCAGACCCTGCTTAGAAACAACTCGAGCCGGTTCCGAACCTGTCCCTTGATTTCACGTACAGTTCATCCATGGAAAACAATGATACGTTCAAAAAGAGGCGAGTAACTTACGCTGTAACCCAAGCATGCTTCGTCACGTCGGCCAGCTTGGTAAGGGAGATAGACATGGACACTATTTAGCCAAACTGCGGAAGCACATTACGTTGCGAGCTTTGAGCACGAAGCACGCGTTCGTACCCAGGAGACTTATGGGAAATACAAGGATCGTATACATGATTTCTTCTCGCTGTATGGTGAAACTACCAACGCTTTATCGGGACATTTAGTGTAAGCACAAATTAATTTTTATTGAAGGTATAGGAAAGTTTCCTGAACTTTCCCGGCCGAACTTATTGACCTTGTTTTGACCGTCTGCACGATGAGAGCTAATTAGTGGAACGCAAGAAAAAACTTTGCTTTTACCATCATGATGGAAACCCTAAGACACGGAGAAAATAAAATAACGGACAAGACGACACAGTTCGTTATTTTATTTCCTGCGTGTTCGGGATTTAGACTACCTTTCCTGAGCAGCTCGCCTACAGACGTTTGCTTCTTGCTATTCGCTTTTACATTGCTTCGTAGGGAGAACTTCAGCTACTCTAATTGCGCCTGTAAGCAAGATTAGAGAAGACCAAAACAAACGAGAGACGATCTTTAAGCACGTAATTAGAGTCCTAATCTTTGGTCCTCCGCATCTTTGCTATTTCCCCTTAGACGTGTGGAATTTAAAAAAAAAAAATAAAATAAAAAAAAAAAGCACCCTCCCCCTTAAAAAAAAAAGAAAAAAAAAGGGAGGATTGTGAGGGAGAGAGATATATAACGAATGAAAGGTGGGGGGACAGATGGAAAGAAAGAGAGGAAGGCGTGTTCCCAATGTTGCCCTATTTTTGGGCGCACCTCTATCGCGTATTTGGCGAAGCGCTCCACAGATGGCGCCACCGCACTGGCTCTCGAATAGCACTGCGCGATGCGGCCGCCGCTCGATACCGCGGTGACTCGGCTCTGCGCTGTCAGCCAATAGGATCATTTGGCAGGAGCATGGAAAATCCGAGATGCCGAGGAAAAGCCCCAGTCAGGATGCAGTACAGTAATGTTTTGAGCGATTGTAGAGCCATCATTCATACATTCATTCAGTCATTCATTCAGGAATTCATTCATTCATTTCTAATGTACCTCCTGCCAGTTATGGGCGTAGTAACGCGGTACCGAAACGTTCAGCATCTGCCTTACAAAATAAAATGAGCTATTATTGTCGCGTCAGTTTTGATATACCAAGAACCAGTTTTTCAATATAGGACTGGTTCTTGAAGTGCACAATAAATGCTAAATAGCCAATAACTTGACTAAAATAGAAAAGTCTAAATACCTTATTCCCCACGATGGAAGAGAAACCCGTTCAAACCATGGGAAATTATTCAGGGAGTTCCAACCTAAAAATAATTGCTTTAAATTTTCATTTTTTCCGCTAGCAGTCCAGGAATGGAACAGTTTGCCCCGACACGTTGTTCACGCTAGCTCGCTGAAACAGTTCATGGATGATGTCGAAGCGCTCATGATGTGAACATACTATGTCTCATCCACTCCGTTTGTTTCATATACTTTTTATCCTCTGTATAACTGTTTTTTCTGCACTATGGTTATGCATCTGTGTTTTTTGTACCACCCTACAAAAATCCTCCTATGAGGATTAGTAGTATCGATAAATAAATAAATAAATGTTAAGGTCAAGGTCGAGACACTGGATCTCAAAGGCGTGTCGCATATTTTCACCACATGCAAGCAAACTTTCAAGAATCACAGTCAATTTGCAATATCGCAATATTTCACACACAGGTTTGTCATCTTTATGTTTGGAAATCCATCTCCAAGACCTAGGATAGTATAGTGTGTGAAATATTGCCTTTGACTTGATGTAAACTTACATCATAAATTGTTAGCGATAATGTTTTGCTAAGACATCTTCAAGATCACTCCAACGTTCGTTTCAATGTTTGCAATATTACACAACAAATAAAGGGCGTCATTCCCGAAATGGTATTGTCATAGATCAAATTTACAATTTTTTATAGCATCCCTATTTTGAGGGTTTGTTGGATCAATACAGCTTTCAAGAGTGACATAACATCGACAATTAGCGTCACAAATTGTACTCAGTAATTTTAGGGAAGGTTACTGACTGTAACTTCAATGTCAGACAGTACAACCCCAAAGAACGTGCAGTCTTCCACAACATGAAAATCCATCAGCTGAGGCAGGCAAGGCGTCAGGGTTAAGCATATATCTTGGCCGGGAGTGCTTTATATTTAGCGAGAGAATAAGACAACCGTTTATTTGTATCCTCACCCCAAGCCTGGCCAACGCGAACTTAACACAGCCTCATGAAACTGCTTTATCAAATGGGTCTTTCGCACTCTTGGAGGCTGTATGTCTAGACACGGCCGGACCGGATTCGAGCGCTTCTTTTCCATACGGCCTTTTACGTCATAAGGGAAAGAATGTGAATTTTTCTGCGTGGGAACGTTGGCACCCAACTATTCTCGCTCTTCCACCCTGCTAACCCTGCTGCTCAAAGGAGTCTGTTTTTCGTGGAACAATGGTGTATTGTCGTGTCCTGAAGAGCACGTCAACATTGGGGAAGACTTTTGGAGTACCTTTCCACAAGCTACCTAGCGATGAATCCCTAAGCACCTCGCGAAACAAAATGCAAAAAAGAACCTTGTTGTCAACAAGTACCCATCTACAGTGTGTGCGTAGGGTCCTTTATTCACTTAGTGAGGCATTTAGCAGGTCATTGCTTTGATGGATCAAATGAATAACCAAGAAAATGCTCACACCCTGAGATTTTTGTACCGTGGCATTACCTCGGGGAGTGTCAGCATTCGGGTCTTCGAGCAGCGCTGTAATAATGCTTTTTCTAGTGATTCCCAGAATTCATACTTAGGATTAACGTTCACCGCCAGTCATTGAGAATATAGCAGCACCTTACACCCATGGCACTTTGTAGCCCATCATAAAAAACAGGGCATAGCAGGCTCCGCGATAGTTTCAACACGATTTACGCGTTCGCTTCTTCTTTGTCGACGTCTCCAGCTTGCTTTGACCAGAGTCCATACTCGTGGACAACTTTCTGGGGCATTTTCAAAGAGAGATAGAGAGCACGCCTGCACAGCTTTGATCAGCGCTCCAGTGCGCGCTCCCGCACGTTTGGTTGCATGCATACATGAAGAAAGTTGTCCCCCAGACAGATCCTACGGCCGCTTTGTGGATCTAGTGACACATCCTACGGCCGCGCTGTGGCGCTGCTCTCGCCCGCCGAGTTGCGCTTAGATCCTACTATGTGTTAAGTCCCTTGATAAAGGCGTTTTTTCACAGGTACCGCGAACCATTGCGGATACGCGCAAGACACGTGCGAGGAGCTGGTACTCTGCCGCCATTCGCTTCCAATGGCCTCTTATTCAGTGCTTCGCCACCATTTGCTTTCAAGAGCGGCTCGAGACACGGGTCTCGTGCACTGGAGCATCTGACAGTACTTTCAAAACAAACGCAAACATATCGAGGGGCTTTAAAGAAATACGGAAACAAAATTTTTTTTGTTGTTGTTGTTCAGACTTGGTCTATATTGGCGGCAGCCCAAAACACCAGTCTAGACTATTGTTTCTCGGCTGCCGGCCGAAAAGTCAAGAAAATCAATTTTCAAACGAATGAATAGATTCCAAAAATGCGCCTGGTGGCGGTCTGTGATGCTACGTTAAAAAGCCGCCGCGTAATAGGCTTCTAAAAAGCAGCGGCCGTTCGCAGCAGTATGGCTCTCTCGTGGAGTTACTTAGTCCTGAATGTAACTTGGCGGAGAATGCTAACGAGTATACTACCTTGTATATGTTAACTTTCACAGTGTTTCCACAGCGTGCATTCCAAAGCAGCTCTCACCTAATGTCTGGGAAGACGTTAGGTGAGAGCTGCTTTGGAATGCACGCTGTGGAAACACTGTGAAAGTTAACATACCCAAGGTAGTGTAATCGTTAGCGTCTGGGGATGCGAAGACCTCTGCCAGGCCAACCATACCCCCCCCCCCCCCGCCCCCCCGCAGTGAATGCCACCCAGTGAATACTTTTTATACATAGCTTGCATGTGTCGCCATTACTGGGTACTGATGGTTCTTTCTAGTAAATGATGTCCTCGAGCGGCGGTTGTGAAACTAACACGGTGAGCCGAACGCTCTTGGCACATAAAATACCGGCATGGACGCGAATGACGTCATGGGCAAGTCCTCAGACATTACTATACTAGGCGAGATTGTAAGTGCTGACGCCATCAAGCGGCAACGCTCGCAACTACAGTACCCTTAGCTGTGCAGGAGCCATTGACGACACGAGCACGATACACATTTCGCTGCTTGGGTGCCGATTTTGAAGCGAGAGGTGGAGAGCTCGAGGTCTGGTCATTTTGTTTCCGTTCCCCTTTAATTATGTGCCAATGCCGCTTTAGAAACATAGGTGTTTTCATGCCTTATTGGAGAGGTCATAAGGCAGCGAGAGTCTATACAGTCGAGGCCGTGTTCTAGGTACAGTGCAGCAGAATAGACGCCTTCAGAAACCACGTGATGGTCATTAGAATATCGGAACCACTGCACAATGGCGGAACAACTGACGTCGTGAAATGTGCAAGTCATTGCATAAGAGCGCGAACGTCGAAGCGCGGCCAACGCTAGGATCCGACGAGCCAATCAAACAGCGTCGAGTGTGCAAGGTCATTGCGCTCATTACTTTTCTCTGTGGGTGCGTTTTTGCGTTAAAAATTCAAATCCAACCAAACGCATAAAGTGTGCCTTGACGTTACGGTTTTAGTCCGCCATTGTACGGGGCAGTCCTTTGAAAAAAGTCTAGAATTGGACTCATACGATACTTCGATTCAATAGACGTCAAAGCGCGGTCAATCCAGCATGCATTGGCTGCCCAAGCTATGCAGACCATCGAGCAGCACACAAAGCGGTCACGGTGTGTGTATTGTCTATATGTGTGTGTGTGCAGCAAATGTGTCGTAAATTTGCGCTTTGAGTGCATGTGCTTGCATTGTGCCTGTTCCCTGTCGCCCCAAAAGCAAACTCTTCTTTGGTAGCACGTTCTTGCTGAACACCAGGCGAGCGTTTCTCTTTACCGGCGACGACCAAGGCCTCACTCACCGTGAGTCTCTTCTCCGGGTTCACTTCAATCATTCCCCGGAGGAGGTCTTGGCACTCGGGTGGCACGAAGTGTGGGATGTGGAACACGCCTCGCTTCACCTTCTCGAGAAGCTGGCGAAGGTTGTCGTCGTCGAACGGTAAGGCACCCTGCGTTAGGCGCCATTTTACTCGCATGCTCGTCACATTCTGTATACTTCGATATCGTGCATACTTCGTTTTGCGTTAAAGTGACACTGGGAAGAACGTCGTGAGCACAAACGACATGCCGTGGAATGTACTTTGATGGCACGAGGGGGCGTGCCTGTCAGACCTATGGGCCAGCGTCTATATTATCGGCTACGCAAATACCTCAACATAAAACGAAGCTTGCGGACATGTTTCGTAAGGGTCTTGAGTTATTTTGCATGTAGTGATCTAGAAAAGTAATCGGAGTGCCTGAGTTCTTTTTGTCTTAGTTCTTACTCATTCGGCTGAACAACGACCGTCATATGTATGAGTAGGGTAGGATGTGCGCTTATCCGGTGTATATTTATTCAGTCAGAATTGGTACGTAACGCTGCCATGAATGAGCTAAAGTTTATATTGAGTCGATCCTGCATCCGGTATGACCGTCTCATGTGCCCTTTTTAGATTCGGGGCTTCACAGCCACACACCCGAGTTTTATATCGGGACATCGCTCTGTAATCTTTAATATTAAGTTCTATTTCAGGTTATTTTTTTATTGTGACTTTATCCCCAAGTCGCAGGCGTGTATAGGTATACAATTCGTATTTAAATTGGGAATTTCAGGGGCAGAATGTCAGTCACGTATAATGAGGACTTCCAGCCCCGTTGCATTTCATTTTACTTTTGAAGGATTTACCTTAGTTAGTATTAAGCAGCTAGGACGTGCAGCCCCATATTTCTGATGTCAAGCTCAAGAACCTGGGGTTTTCAGGCTTATGGTAGATTTGTAGAAAGTTAAGTTGTCAACAATATTTTTATGTACACTTGATGAGCAGAATATTTTTTGTTTCTTGTTTTTACTTACCACTAGTAGAGCGTAGAGAATGACTCCACAACTCCATACATCGGCTCGTCGTCCGTCGTATTTTTCTCCCTGTGAGTGACGTGAATCGAACATGTCAGCATTTGAAGACACCCAAAGTTCGAAGCACAGTCTTATAAAAAATGAATGAAACCCTACCACTGGAGCATACAATCGCAAGTACAGCTTTTCGTGGAAGTTATTTAGACTACCCCATTCTTCGATATATATATAATTGCACACTTCCAGAAACCCCAAGATTTAATTACATAATTTCAGGGTTGAGTTTAATTTCGCAGTTCAGCGTCCGTTTGTTACCAGGCGAGCTCGCGCCCGTACTTTTATTGCGTTCAGTTATGCCATCGCGCGATACTGTTGAAAATATTGTTAAACATTACTGTTGAAAATAACATCACACTTAACCAAGTTTTATTCTATCCAAGGTAATTATGCTTACTCAACAAGCGCACTCATTTTGTATCAATCGTCTACCTTATTGTAAATGTATCCTAAGATAGGAGTCGAAAGCTTTAAACACTGTTTTCAGTGGTTGCTTCGAATTGATGTTTGAGTCAATTAACCTACTCTGCTTCTGATTTACTTTCTCAGCTTGCTCAGTCATTACAGCCTACTAACCAAATTGCTCCTGTTATGTTATTGTTATGTTATGTTATTCGAAGAAGACGTCTGCACGACTGACCCCGGCGCTTAATTTTATAAATAATACGATGTAGAGTGGAGTCTTAAAATCCCGCTGAGACGGGACGTGAGCTCGGCACGCACAGCCGAATGGTCATTCTCCCAAACATTAAAGATTTAACTTCATAAAAAGTTAATTTGGCGACATTGACATTAGTTTACTATCTTATGTTGGTCAATAGATTATTCATTTGTTATTTCCATAGAAAACACAGTCGAGCTCTCAGATGTTCATTTTTATCGTTAAGTACACATATTGTAGAACGTACTCAAGCTGAAATGAGCGATAGCTATTTTATGGCTTTATTTTTTGTGCTAATAAGAATGTTTTTTTTTTTTTTTGCAATATTAACGTTTGCAATAACATACATGAAAGTGTAGACTCATATTTTCTGTCTAGATTTGAAAATATTCTGGCGCGGGATGCTTCGTTTCAAAAGCTTCTGAAATGCGCCACCTGGTCTGTTCGAAAAAAGTAAGTAAACTGATGTTTAAGCACACTATTATTTAATTGGGAGCATGTCCACTTTTTTGACGAACAGTTTAATATCTTTACACCGACAAACAAATTCATTTTTTTTACGCGAAAAGTATGCAGTAAAAATATTTTGCGCGCACCGAAGCATTCATTTTTTTTTTCGAGGTGAATACAGGCGACGTGGAGGGTATTGGTCCTTGCATTTCGTACCTGCCATTAAACATCTAATTGGCCATCAAGCAGCATGATTATGTTCTAAATACAAGTTGGAGATTTAAATTATTTTTTTTTTATTTAGTGCGACTGACCCGTGCTGCGGTTTACTCGCGACACACCTGATCGTTACGCGATTGACCGTCATTTGACTTTTATACGACAGACACAACTAATTATATGAACATATTTTTTCATAAAAAACAGAACAAAAAATTTAAAGTTAGAATTTAGAATTTTTAACACGACAGGAACTTGCCACTGCAAGTTATTGTTCATCGAGATATTGTGAAAAATATCTTATAAACGATTCGTTACAACCACTCACACATTAACGAGGTGCGCATTTATTCCTATTTATTTATTAGCTAATAAAATATAAGGTTTTTGCCCAGATTGAACTGCTCTTGTTGTAAAACTTTCCTGAAAATGTTCTCAACAGTGTGCATGATTACAAATTAAATACGGGTGGCACAAGTTTTAAAATAGATTTATATATCTTTCGTTATATCACAGACATTCAGGTCGTTCACATTTGTTCTTTTTCTTATAAAATTTGTAAAAATATAAATTCTTTAGCAACACTGGACGCTGAGATCATATCATAAATTTGAGCTGACGTAGGTATACGACTTCTTAAATCAAACTTCTAAAAGTTTACATCGCTAAAACAAAAGGTCACACCTTTGAAACTTCTGCGCTAGTTAGGAGATACAAAACAAATGCTGAGATAGCACATAGGACACAATCTAAACTATATTTTTTTCTAAAATTGCCATAATTATGAGAATTTGCTAATATTTGTTTCTAGGACACACTGATCCTATCCTATGCAAACCATATTTTAGGAATGGTGAGAGGAAGGCGTTTTAAGGTTATTTGAGAGTCATATTAATGTTTAACTTTCGGGAAAATGACCCCGTGCTAGCATCAATTGGCGCTATTTTATGCGGTACAGCGCCGTCGCCTCGCTGCCGTCTTGACTGCGGGAATCCTTTTACCGGCTCCCTGAGGCAAAGCACGGCGCGACAGAACCGGAAGCGGAAGTAGGGCCGAGACCGGAAGCTGCTCTCACCCGAATAACTTCTGGGCAGGCGTAGTGCGGAGAGCCGCAGGAAGTCTCGAGCATGGAGCCCTCCATCTGTAGGGAGGCCATTCCGAAGTCCGCTATCCGGATGTTGTTTTTTTCGTCCAGCAGGAGGTTCTCTGGCTTCAGGTCCCTGTGACTAAGGACCAAAGCAGGCTTGTCACAGCTGCCTATGCTAAGGACACTCAATAATGTTTGTTCCGCGTGCTATTTGCCACAACAAAACAAGATATGAAAGGAATCGAAAGACGTTTACAAATCTCTGTAGTACGAAATTTGAGCGCAGCTCTTGAGGAGGAAGTTTGGAGGGTACGGAGAGGAGGGAATGCCTCTCTTCCTCCTCCGTACTCTCCCCTCCTCCGCTCTTTCTCCTTTCCTCCTCTCCTGCTCCTTCTCCTCTCCCCTTCTCCTCTTGCGTACCCTCCCATCCTCCTCTACCGTACCCTCCCTTCCTCCTCCTCCTACAGTTTCCCCGCTAAATTTAGCTGGAAAATTGACTCTACGTGACCTCGACACAAATTCAGTTTTCCCGCTAAATTTACTGGGGAAAATGACGTCACATGACTTCGTTTCACGTCACCAATGAACGAATTCAGTTTCTCCTTTAGATTTACCGGGAAAATTGACATCACGTGACCTCAAAACGTATTCAATTTCCCTCTAAATTTAGTGGGGCGGTTACGCCAACTGCGACGCCGCGAAACACGGAAACGGGCACTTAACAACTGCGCTCTAAAAAAAAAAAAAAAAAAAAAAAAATTGGTTTTGAATTGTACCTGCAACATGCAACGTCGCACTGTCTGAGAACGAGCAACACTAAAACAATAGACCCTTTCAAACTCCCGTCAGGCAACACTGAAGTTCGCGATGTTTGGGGCACGAAGGGTCTGATCGGATCCGAATCCTCGGCGAATGCTGACGCAGCACTGGTTTTCGATACGAGCTCTGCCGAATTCACGCCGAACGCAGACGCAGACCTCCTGTCCATTACCTCATAAGACAACGTGTGCAAACGACGGCACATGGGCTGAACAGCTACTAAATGGCGCGTATTTTTAAAACGGGCCTATTTCTCTGTACCAGTACAAAAACGATGTCTGTAAATACACCTCCGTATTTCTGGCCAAGCCATAAATGATTTTAATGCTCAGCCCCGGGCAAGTTGTCTATGGTTGTAATCCTCAGTCCTTTGAAATTAAAACGAATCGTTTGCTTAGTTACATTGTCCGAATGCGTGAGTAGATATTTGTGATGTATTTTGTTGTTTTCCTTCCTGTGTACGCCGCAAGACTCGCAGGATTTCTAATATAAATACATAAAGTGTGACATCCAGATTTAGGTAGCGTACTCCCCAAAGTTTCTTGCCAGAACGCATTACACGAGAAATGCGAATACATCATGAAATGCAGATGACATAAGGCAAAGTAAGAAATTTGCGTATACACATAATGTGCTGGAGCTCATCGTTATAGTGTAAAATATAGATATTTAGTACAAACAGTTCTTTTAGCTGGTTGTTTTACGCGTATAAATGTTTTTAAAACAAATCTAGAACTTGAATATATATCTAAACTAGACTTTACCGTTTAAATGTGTCAGCAAGGCAGCTACAGATGTAGAGGAGGAAAAAAAACACGCAAGAAACTTTTTGTTTTTAAATGTTTGCTTGTAACTATTCTTGCTATGAACCCGTTGCTTTGTTTCGAGACATCAACGCATTACATAAAGCGCAGCTAGAAGGACATTTAGTGTTAGTTTCACTGCTGTCTAGCAAACATAACAGGCACTTCGAAGATAGCTTTTATAGAAACGTGCTCTTAAGAAACTTACATGCAGTAATTCATATGAACTTACTGTTACGCGAATTGATTTCTAAAAACAGAATTGTGCTTCTGATTTCTATGGGGCCCCCAAGTAGGAATACATGTTTGCTTGTCCCTTGATCGGTAACATACAAACTCCGCGAGATAACCGCATGCATTTCAATCAAGATTACTACAAGCAGTCTGTTTCACGTGGCAGCTGTACCCCACGAGAAAACACATGTTCCCAGCATGCTGCAGTCCTGCCCCTACAATCGCAGTAAATATATCTGCTTCCCCTGGATATTGTAATGGAGTCAACGTCGGAAACCGTAATCCTAGCCAAATGCAGCCAACTAGAGCTTTAGTGCCGCTCAAAGTTTTTGTCTCCTCTCTACTAACCTTGCCCATATAGCCTGAAAATGACTCCAGAATGTTCCCTCTCACGTTCCTCCTACCATCTTGTATGGCGTTCCTGTTTCATTTGTGCTCCTATAGGTGTCTCTCTTCAGTGTTGTCTCCTCGGGGCACGTGCATTTGTATCTTAGTTTGGTCTGTGTGTGTGTGTTTGTTTGTGCTTGTGCCTGTGCGAGCGTGCATACAAGTGCGTGCATGTGCACGTGCTCGCGAGTGTGCATGTGCGCATGTACGCGTGCGTGCGTGTGTATGTATCATATGTATGTGTGTCCGTAAAGAGAAAGAGCGTTGTTGCTCACCATATGGAGTGGCTGTGGCAGAAGTCCAGGGCTGAGATGATCTGCCGGAAGAACCTCCGTGCTTCCTTGGGTGTGAGTCGTCCTTTCTTCACCAGGTAGTCAAAGAGTTCTCCGCCGGACACGTGTTCGAGGATCAGATAGCTGCAACAGATTGAGTGGTACATCGCTCTACTCTTGATTTACCCGTAGAAGTTGTCAACACGTGTTTTGTTGTTGCCATGAAGACCTAATTTAAGAACCAGATCGATAAAAAGCAGCATTCACAATAGTGGTCTTAGTATTGATTGATTGGTTGTTCCGTCGATTGATTGATTGGTTTACTTACTGATTGATTTATATAAAGAATATGGTAAGTACGGCACAACGGAATAGGAATATATTGAAAAAAGAACGGCAATGTCTGACGACGAAAGGTATGCGGAGCAAAAGACTTCAAGGCCAGGATGATGCAACAAGCATATTAAAAAAGTTGACGTCCCTTCACATAGCGGGATATGAGTCCACACCAGGGCCCTCGAACAGTGGCCTGCGTTTGATTTGAAGTATGAATTTCTTTTTCCAACATCCTTCGGTCGATAATCTCCCGATGACGCTCTGTCGATTTTCTTTCTTCCATCCCTGCAGATGGCGCAATTTAGCATGAGATTGAATTCTATTTTCGGGAACTCTCACAGTTATGGCACTTCGAGCTCTGCGTTTCTATTTATGGCAGTCTTAGGACATCCTACAGTTAGACAAATTGCTTTTTTTTCCTGTTCTTCTCACTTTTAGTGTTAGTATCACTAGGTCTCATTTTCGTTCTGCCTTATCGAAATGTTTTCGCTTCAAGGTCTATCACCGGCTACGTCACTTCACAATTTCCTTGCCTCAGTTACCCTTTCTGTTCCGATTTGCTTTTGCTTTTCGGAGTGCACAGAATCCCCTCTCCTCCTTCGTGTCTCCTCGCAGCTCCGACTGCGTCTTTATTGCGTTCGATCCCCCGTTCGCTCGCGGAGGAACGCATTGGGAAGAGCCCGGAATGCGCCGGGTCGACTCGCTCCGCTGAACCGAGCGCCAGCGGCGACGGACATCGGGAGCTCTATTATTGGCGCGGACGTCGCGTGACCGCTCTCTCGGGTCCGGGGCCGCAGCAGCTAGAGAGCCCATGTATTCACAGAGGGAGCAACTCAAACCACGAAGAGAGGTTGCAACCTAATGGCGGACGCTTCTTGCGCGGATCGGTCGCAAGTGCGCATCCTTTGCATTCTTCGCGCGGCAACGAGAAAATTGACCGGAGGAACGAAGACGCTTGCGGACGATCAACCCGTTCGTCACCCCCTTGCGGCTCGTATGGAAGACGCCATGTGATCTCGATCCAGAAGTTGTAAACTCTCTGAACTCTAGGCACACTAGCAGCAGCGCGAGTCGGTCGCACCAGGGGTGGCTGGCTCTCGCGTGATTGGGCTCCCTGCGTGTGGTTGTGACCCACGCAGCCATTACCCCCCTCTACGGGCGAAGCAAGTTTTCTCCATTCATTGATTCGTTCCCGAGAGTCGGAGCTGCTTATACTCCGTTTCACCGAACGACGGATCGCAGCGAATGCTACGAGCCAAATCCCAGCAAATCCAGCGCCGTCAACGTGTCAAGTCGTGACTGCGCGCCCCTGGCGTCGCTGCCTACCCTCCTTAAGGTCACGTGACGCTAAGAACGGCGTTGGATTGGCTGGAATGACTCGTAGCATCCGCTGCGGTCCATCGTAGGGAGAGAGTGAGTGTTGTGGGCCACCGCCCCTTTTCCCTGACCCCGTCTCTCTCTTCTTACCGAATTTGGTCTGTTTGTTTGTCTTAGTTTGGTGTGGAAGACAGCGAAGACAAATCACTGTTTCGGTATTTGGGGTTCGTATTTCTATTTGGGCTACCAGAAGGAAAGGGCCGGCGGCAGTATGGTTGTCCTAAAATAGGCTGCTTGGACGACAACATCGCCTTCGTACATTTTGGTTGATGTGCGCGGGTCGTCATTTTTGCTCGGGTTTCCATTGGCAGGTTATCAGCAGAAACAGTCAGAATATAGCAGTCGATGGCAGACCTAAGATGTGAGCCAATGGCGCTTCAATGTTGAAAAAGAAAGTCTACTAATGAAAGCTATAAAAAAAGATAATGGGGTTACCATACATCTGTTTGAAGAGCGGGAAAACTACTCTTAGGTTGTTCTCTTGGACCTTCCCTAAACCGACTCGTAAACGACGCGTGGCACGGTGTCAGACATGATTCGAAACTTATTTGAGTCCATCCGCTTGACTGACTAGGACCGGCTGCTAGAACAGCGTCTCAGCCGAGACTGAGGAAAAAAAAAAAAAAGCACTGCAAAGGCTGGGTTGCGCGAGCGTCTTCAGACGTGGTTTGAGTCCCGCTCATCTCTTTCGCTGGCTTTGCCAGTGCTTTCTCTCACCCAGTCTGACCTGAGACGCGGTTTTAGCTTAAGTCCAGACCACGGTGGTCCAGACGCAGCCAATGCTAGAAGCTCGAGCATGTGGCCCTGAACATTTCTTGCACTGCACGAGCGCGCGTGCTTGGCAGGGACGCTGAAAGCCTGGAGCTCGCTCTTGAGGCTTCTGCTACACTCACACTTAAAGTGAAACGAAGAGTAGCAAGCCGGCCCTGGTTTTGGGTCAATTATTTAAATGCGGTGAGGAAGTCGTCTGCTTTTTGCGGAGGAGTTGCAGTGACAGCAGAACGACACCGAGTTCTGATTGGTCTTGATTGAAAGGATAGTGGGTAGACCTCAAGGCAAGACTCCTTAAAGTCTACCCGCCATTTTGTTTTTGCAACCAGCCAACCAGAGCTTGGCGTTCTGACATCATCGCAACCTCTGTGGAAAATGCAGACGAACTTGCGCTCCACCAAACCTCCAAAGTTTTTTCTTTCGTTTTTTTTTTTTTTAAATTTCTTCGGGTTTTATTTCGCTTCTTTCTATTTTACGATTTGATTACTCCTTCTACTTTTTTTATTTTTAATGCACAAGAAACCAGTTTAGCGCGTTTGTAGCTCGAACTACAGTTTCAGTTGAACGCAGACAACTAATGCGAGTATCGGTGTTTGTGCCTGCAACTAAATAAAAATCGCGGTGTGAAACGAAAAAAAAAAATAGAGGAAAATATTTTTGCTCAAAAAGGTGCGAATATAAATCCTTCGCCTCTGGCTAGATGAACCTGTAATTTTGCCTTTTCCCCTGCGTGTCTAGAAGGCATTTAGAGCGGGCGCGTTCAAAGCCGTTGCTCCCCTGAATTCTCCCACGGCAGGATCAGCGAGCTAATGAAGACACGGTAGGTTTACATTCAAATTCAACTGTTTACAGTAACTTCCAAAAGTTTGGTAGAATCTTTTTATTTTTTTTATATAAATGTTTCGCTACATCTTGCGTGGTATGCCTCTAAAAGTCAGTTCTTCCTCAAATAATTGGCAAACATGGACTGATCAATGGCAAGCTATAAATACCAATATCCGATCCAAATGCAGTCGGCGTACTTTATTATAATGAACAGTAATGGAAGTGCTGCGCTAGTTGGCTCCAGACTGCGCCATGAAGGCAACATCTCCAACAACTTGCGCCAAAGTGATATTTTTGCTAGGATTTGCTCCAAATCTGCGCCGAGGCGGTCTTGGGCAAAACAAAAATATAGAGATTTTAATATTGGTCGATTCCAATAATAATAAAAAGTGGGAGGAACGCAAAATGCTACAAATATGTATTGCGCAGCATCTCCACTCATCGTATAGTTTGTTTTATCTTAGATAAGAACACAATGGACGGCTAGAATACACAGAACCACAAACACCCGTACTAAAAACGCAAGTCACAGAACATTGGCTGCCCTTGCTTGGTTTAGTCGATGAAAGAACACGTACAGGAAGATGGACGATTGCCATGACGGTCGCGCTATGAAGCTGACTGGCCGACATCCTCTAAATTCACGGACTATGTCGGCGATGTCAGGTGCTTAAAGACGACATAAAACAGTGCAAAATAGTAGGATGGCGGCTACTGTGATCAAACAGAACCAGGATCTTGTAATCCAGGTGAGATCACTTGATTATCATGTCTGCAACATTCCTCTGTTCTGCCTCACTCATCGGCGCGCCCGCGTCGAGCTTCCCCGCTTTGCACCGGAACGCTAGGAGCAGCGGCTGACTTGGGTGAGGGGCCTGAGGGCGTGGATTAACGCTACAGGCTCGGAAACCTCTGCTCAATACTCGTAAGAAAATCCCTAATTAATAATTAGAAAAAAACTGCGACAAGAAAAAAAAAAAAAGAAAAAATTCCCCTGCATATATCGATTGAAAGAGCAGCGACTTCACTCTGGTTCTAAAGCCGCTAGTGCGAAGTGTAACTTTAAACGCGCATATGTAGGTTTTCAAAATCTTTGTGAGTGGTTATTTTTGCAGTATAAAATCTTCAAGTCTTGAGTTTGGTAGGTTCATGATACTTGTGGGATGGCATTTTTATTGATAGACGTGTGCTTTTGCAGGCCATTTACAATAATTATATTTACAGGCTGAATAAACTACCGGATGTAAAAATGGGAAGAGAGAGAGGCTTTATCCCAACTAAAGTGTTGCGTTATTATTAAGTTTTCAAACATTTTGTTTTTAGTAATCATTGTAACCTACTCTGACCAAAACCATATTTTAAAAAATTTCGAATTAAACACATTTCCCGATGCAATCACTTTTTCATATTCAAGCGTTGTGCCAACAGATGCTGGCATCTGCTCCAAAAGCCCCCAGTGGCTGCTGTATACAAATATTTCGCCTGCTACAGAACCTGCTAACAAAGGCAAATTGCCACTTCCATCGCTGAACTAAAAAAAAAAATGACAAAACCTGGACAATATTTATATAGTACTTGAATAGTTAACGTAGCGTTGCCTATATCGAGGCGGATTGTCGTCGTCAATTTCACCATCCGTTAACGCCGCAGGACGTGAAATGTAGAGCAATTATCATCTATATTTGAAATTGCTATTTCGAAAATCCTTGCACATTAACATTTAGAGCGATTCACGAAAGCTGAATCTCGTTATATTTATCAGATTTTATGGGTTACTTGCATAAAGGTATCGGTTTTACAAAGTTGCGGACTTTTCCTATGTATATGTAGCTGAAAAAAAAAAACATTTCTCAGCCTGGACAGACGTCTTTTTTCGGTCTTTCTCTTGCATATATGTGGATGGTTCTAGAAGAAAGGCCGTACTCACAGATATTTCTTGTTTTCGTAGACGTCGTATAGTCCCAGGACGTGAGGGTGTTCGATGAGCTTCATGATTGCGATTTCCCTTTCGACCTGAGGAAAAACCATATAAAAACCGTAAAAGAGTTATTTGAAAAAAAAAAAAAAATAGAATGCATTCTAAAGATGATGAAATACAGCCTCAGTCGACACGGACGAAGAACAAAAAACGAAAGCGATAGTGTTCGTTTCATGTTCTTTGTCAGAACTGTTACTGTTACCAACTGTCCCAGTTTACCGTCCTACTTCAATGCTTCCTGCAGTTGCTCAAACGCCAAAAAAAAAACCAATTTTTTAACTATTAAACGTTTGACTAACATAACTCTCATTGTAGCGATCGCTTGTAAATCACAAACAAAATGTGTAGATACATCAGCGCGTGTTGTCCGAAGTCACATATTTTTTCCCTTTGTCCTGTCTTGACGTTACTTTTATCGGGCTTATTTTTTAGAAATAACGTTTGACTCAATTCGACTAATGACAATCTGTCTCCCTGACGCAAGGTAGACATATTGTGACAAGTATAACCCAAGACTCGCGCAATTAAATAATAACACGTTTTTAACATTAAAAAGCCATTTCTTACCACCGGAAAAATTGTTTTTGCTTAAATTAACGTGCAATTTTATGCAAAAAACAAACAAACAAAAAAAACGTTAAGCTTGCAAACGGAATTAAGATACCTGAGAAGGCGAATGAACCATTGTAGATGTAGGAAAACTAACTCGTCTATCATTCTTAGCTTGAGAGTAACTAGAGGCATTATGCTTCTCTTACAAAGAACATCTTGAGCACGAGCGAAATGGCAGCGCGGATTTTAAACTACGTTGTCAGGAACACATCTCCGACTGGTGTGTTGCCAGCGTCCTCAAATGTGGTCCCTCGATTTCCGTCTGATGACGTCACAGATGTTTCACTCTGTCGCCTGCCGCGATTCTAACGGTGTCAGAGCAGGTAGCAAAGATTAATCGAAAGACAGCCGTTCTGCTGTACGTCGCTGTCCAGTTTGACAGCCAGTTGGAACGCCGTGAGGACAGCGAAACTCAGTGGTGCTTTTTGCCGGAACAAGGTGACCCACCGGCTCCTGCAACTTCATATATTGCCACATATCGGGACCCATTTAGATGCACGGGTGGTATGCGGAGAGAAAGTTCGTCTGCTTCTTTCGCAGGGGTTTTAGCGACGTCTGAACGCCGAGCTCTGCCTGGCTCTGGCGAAAAGATACAAGAGTAGACCTCAAGGCAGCTAGCATTTAGGTCTATACCAGGGTGTAAGATAGACAGGTGGGGAAACGAGAGCCAAATAAGCGACCGGATTGTGTCCCCCTCGGCTTTCTCTTTTTCTGTGGCGCCATCTATGTGGAGCACCACGAACTCTCACTCCGGGTGGGCGAGCGGTGGCGACCGGCTAAACTGACGGAGATTGTTTCTCGTGGATTTTCAATAGAGGACTGTCGTGCTCTCGGTTTATTTTGCGTACTCTCCCATAAAGTTCCACGCAAATTCGATTCTGACTTTTTTTCCCTCTCGCCGCAGCGCCATCTGTCGCAAATCGGGGGTACCCGCAAGCAGACGAGTACACAATCCGGTCACGGCGCTGCGGCAGGCTTCTATGGGCCGTTTCCCCACCTGTATATCTTACACCCTGGTCTATACCCACTATTCTTCTAATCAGGGCCAATCAGAGCTCCGCGTTTTCTTGACGTCACCACAACCCCTGCAAAAGGAGCAGACGAACTTGCGCTCCCCATAGGACGCTAAATCACACCGGTCGGAGACGCGTCTCAAGCACCATACTTAAAACAACTCCAGTAGATTTTTTTGTGAATGTTCGTGTGTGCGTGCGTGCGTTTGTGTGTGATTTAGACATGAAACAAAACGCACCTTTTGTAGCACAGACTCGCTGAGTTTCTCACGATTGATGATTTTCACGGCCACCTTGCGTCCCGCCACGCAATGGATCCCCATCTTGACGAGTCCTAGGAACGGACAGAGGGAGACGCGCTGATGAGTACAAACGATGATGACGCGACAAGGGCGACCTGCCCAGCTTCCCGGAAACGCCAATAAATTTAAAGCCTCGGGACCGTGCGAGCCGACCGAGTTTGCTTACAGACATTTTTTTTTCCAGTCAATACACAGACTGGACCCCACAGGATCGATAGAACTTTGGACGAGGAGCTAGATTCGTCCGTTCAGAGAGTGGGCTCCCTCTTATCTCAGCACTGCGTTGTTCGGTGCCGCATATTTTATTGTTCGAAATTATTGAACGATGATGACCATTCTGCGACGAATAAATAAAACAAAATTGAAGATGAACGTTCATTTGAGGCAGCCTTTTCCGGGCATTGTCGGCGTTTTGTCACTCTCGATGATATAACTACTTAACTGTAAAAAAGAAGAAAAACAAGTTTTTTTTTTTTCTTTTAGCACTGTTGATAGGGGTGTGGAAGGGGGGGGGGGGGGGCGGTTTTTTGTTCTTGAGTACGTTATTGATTTGTTTTTGAACGAACGAAATGGTAATACGAAGTCTTTCATTCGAGCTGGTGCGTTATAGTACGTGCTGTAAGAATGCTAGAGAGTGACAATTTAAAGTCACCTCTTTCCTCTTGCTTCACCGCATTAGTAGAATCAATATAGTACACCCCAAAAACTGCCTGCGGGTATACTTTGCCACAGAGCACATGGTCCACCAATCATGGCCTACAAAGTGTGTTTCTGTGCGTGCGAGGGAGAGAGGGGGTGATTTGGGGGGGGGGGGGGGGGAGTGAAGGAAGATGGGGGAGGGGGGAAGAGGGGGGGGGGGCATCAACGGCTCGTAACTGAATTGAAAAAGTGCCAACGACATAAGTGACGTCCACGCAGATCGAATAGAAATATGTCTTGTGGTGTTTCAAAGAGGAACAACAAAACGCTGAACATACGACACTGCTGTGCAATCTGTTTAATTTTTTCGTGTTTTTCTACGTGGTGGCACGCGTTTAGACCACTACGACTGGGTTCATTATACTACGACGCACGATTGATTGCATCTTGGAATCTAACGCCGTGAGGTTCAAATAAAATGGCCATCGAAGAAACAGAAAGCAAAGATGAATTGACCTCCAATGAAAAATGCCGGATCTAATGCTTCTGGTAGTTTTATTGCCGTTTATCTAGAAAATCCACGTGCGCCCATGGTGCGTGGAGCTCATATTTGCTGCGTCGATGCAAACACCTCCAAAAATTTGCAAGAAAAAAAAAATTGCTCCTGCACGTTCATTTTGGCCTTCCTACGCGGATTGGTTTGTGTTTGAAAGCAGCGTGAAGCGTACCGTGCGGAAAGATAGGAGAGGATATTTAGTGGCCGTCGAGGTACTTTGGGCGTTTATCGCCTCTCAAGATTTATTGCGATGTTCGCCTCAGTTAAACACAAACCCTGACGAGATATTTTTCATCGTTTTTTTTCTTCTGGAACCTATTTAAGTTGTGAAAATGGGCATTAGATATAAAGAAGCTATTTCGCTTTGATTTTATGACCACCAACACCATGTTTTTGAAATTTCTGTTATCAGTCGATATTTTCAATGCACCTCCAAATTTAATGAGGAGCATACCCACATATTTGGGGGTAAATAACTCTATCAAATTTGCGCTGGAGGGTTTTTTCTTCATTTCAAACGCCTTGTAGACACCGACTTTATAACAACGACCCCGATTAGGATTCCATGTGTGTTCTAGATGTTTCTTGTTATACTTGGCGAACCAAACAACTTCAGATAAGATGTCCAAAACTAGAAAGCAGCTATTTTGCAATTTACAATTTAAAAATAGCATTGCGTCTATTTTTTTGCAAGGCACATCGAAAAAAAAAGCCTTTGTTTTAAACGAGATACAATACTCGTTGAACAGAAAAATTTAATTGCAACATAACATTATAGTAAGTATTACGTGAACATGTGAAACATCGTGTACCCTCACAAAGTAAAATGTGTTTGTGAAAAAGTTTACCCGACTTTGTCATTCACGAAAGCACCTCAGTTGGCTGAGCGATTGGCGCTCTAAGAAATTTGACAGAAGGTACACGTAGGTGTATTTTAACGCGACAGCGTTAAGGAGCTCGTGCCGAAGAAATTGCGGCGTCGGTGTCGGCGTCGGCGTCGGCGGGAAAAACAAATCTCATAATGAAACACCCGCAGCCACGCGTGTCACACGTGACATCACACGTGACATCACACGTGGCTGTGCGTGTTGCATTATGGGATTTAGCGGAAATATTGTCCGCAAAATTTGGCAGAAAATGTTTTGCCGAATTGAGCGGAAACTATTTCCACCAAATTTAGCAGAAAGTTTTCCCACCGAATTTAGCGGAAAATTTTCCCGTCAAATCTAGCGAACAATTTTCGCGCCAGCAGGTCGATAGGGTCATGACGTCACAGTCACGTGGGACGTCACGTGACACGTGACGCTACGGACTAGACCACGCACACACGCTTGTACGGCTTGTCAACGAGCACGCGTTTATTAAGAAGGCTTTGCGAACTGGTCCCAATGACGCTATCGCGTTCCACTCTTAAAGGCGAAGCTTAATCGCCCCCAAGTTCTTTTTCTTTATATATATATAGAACATCTAAGTCTAGGTAAGCAACTTTTTCGCAACTATCCCTATTTATTTCTCGGATTCATAGACGGCCTGCATTAAGAGGTTGTACTTTGAACACATTATAACTCTCAAATAATTATTATTATTATCACGTATGCATCTAGTGAATAGAAGATTACCTAAGCGAGTCTGGTTGCTGCCTTTTGGCTCGAATGCATACGTTCCCTGAACGTATTGCTGCTGCAGATAGCTGACGTAAGACACGACGAACCTCTCTGGAGTAATATAGCGCGTTATGAAACACGAGGCTAAGACAGTTACATAACAGAATACGTGGCGCTGCGAAATTGTGCAAAAACGTTCCGCCTTTGCGCCTCCTCAAGACTTGCGTCACAACGGCGTGGGGCCTAAGACCCTCGGGCATAAAATCGACCAAGCACTTCCTCAAACGTCGTTTCCGCAATTTCCTAATTCGAGGTAGATGTTCGCAGGGCGCCAAAGTAATCCCAACAACACGTTCCCCAATAGCGTCGAACCCCCCAAATCGGGCCTGGGCAGAAGCACTACGCAGGCGGGCGACCCAGCGTCCAAGGCCGCGGAAGACTCAATCGATCAGGTCGTCTAGGGAAGCACCGGGTTTCACAATTGAGCAGCAAACAGCGCCCCATAGATCATCGCCGCCTCGTAGCTGCTCTTCTTTCCCTTGACGGAATCCTACTGTCCCCTGGCAACGTCCCGCGCGTTCTTGGAACGTGGGACGAGGCTCCCTTTTTGTCTCCCGCACGTCGAAAAGAACGATCGCTCGCCCACGGCTTCTCGATTCAGGTCCTCGCTCCGCTGAAAACGGCCTACCGAGTGACCTTTTTGGCTGGGAAAAAAAGAAAGCGTTCAAGGTGGCCGCTGTGAGGGCTACGGAGTCTGGCGCGCTTACCAATGATCACAGTACAGCTTGTGGCGAACATATATGTGTAAAGCAAAGTTGCTCGAAAATACTTAAGGCATGTACGCACATAACTCTGTCATCACGTTTGCGGGGAACACCATGTCTTTCTTATTGTGTATGATCAGTGTGACCGCTCTGCTTTCATTCACACACTGCATTATGTGAAGAGTCACCGTGACCGTCCCCGTTACAACAGCTGTGCTTCGTATCGGGTCATCTGTACCACCGCATCTCCCGGCGAAGCGGCAGGCCAAAGCAGCAATGAGCTATCAAGCGGTCGTGGCTCGCCCCGGACGCTTCCAGAAAGAAAACGGCCTCAGCGGCGCCTGAAGTCGTCGCTTCTTGACGTCAGCGATTGCGTCAGAAGCGCGTCGCGCGGGTCGACCGCATTTCGGCCCATCGACCGGACGCCGCCGCCGCCGCCGCTGCCGAGGAAGCCCCAGGAACGCGGGCCCCCGCCGCTGGCTAACGGGATTTCGAAGGGAACGCAGTGCGACGGAAAGCCCAGTCGGTCAGCGGCGTCTTGCTTGATTGCTTCTGCGCTTCCTGCGCGAGCGCTGCTAAAGGGGTATTCACACGAGGGAGAAATCCCGGGGATTTCTCCCCGGCACGCGCATCCAACGACGAAAACGTCAGGGTTTGCTATGTGCAAAAGTCTCGCGTTTTCATCTCGTGATGCGCGCGTGACGGGGCGAAATCCCCGGGATTTCTCCCTCGTGTGAATACCCCTTAAGGAACATCGTTTGGAGCGGGTGCCCTATCGCTGTTTCATGAGGTCGTGTCGCTGAAGCATGGCGCGCGACCGGATCAAAACGGATCGACGTTTGAATCCGACGCATCTCCAGAATTTCTCACTCTCAAAAGTGTCACAGTTAGGGACAACCTAAGAAAGGCGAGACGTGGCCGACTCCCGAGCATGTTGTTATCCTTCGGAATTAGACGATTGTAACGCCGAAGAGCGAAACATTCTGCTATGGGTTCTGCGAGCTGCAAAGATTAAACTGGAAACCTCGTCCAAGTGGCCATAATCGGCGACAGTATCTCCGAAATTTTTGATTATTACGTGCAGGTGTTACACTGTGCTTAGTTCCACTCCATATACTACCGTGGAACGCGATGAAATGACAGTGTTTGTATTTAATTAATGGGTAGCCTGGGGGGCCTGAATGACTATTTGGCGCAACGTACTGAAGCTTTCGGTACGCCTTACTTTGACGATAACCCTTACTAATCACGTTTAGAATGCAAAATTGTAAAACTAAAATATAACATATTGTGTAAAAACGAACTAATAAATAAGGTGCAAGTGAATTTAAAGCGACTCCTAGGAAACCCGCAGTATCGTTTCGGGAGCCTTATCATCTTTTGAGAGATAAAGGTAGATCTTTTATTGCTCTGTTAGACTATTCAATTGGCATTTTTAGCCCCACACTTTAAAACAAGACCTGATATTA